AAATATCCTTGTATCGAAGTTTAACGCCGGGTATATTGCATCATGGCGGACCCAAAGATGTTATTTGTAAAAATTCAATTACTCTGATAAGCTTTATTTATACACAAAATATATAATTTTGTGGCGAATGTAGGAATGGCTGATTTAAATGAATGTATTGAACGTGTGATTAAGGTGAGTTAGAGATATAAGGGGAATAAATATTAAGATTGTTATTTATCATATAATTTTATGTCTTTTGCGATCCACTTGAGTTACGCCAGAAATATTTCTAAAGTAAAGCAATTTTATCCTTCATAAAATATTGATTCGCGTAATAATTAGGAAAGTTGGATTACAAGAATTTCGTAGTTTTCTTTTACACACTACACAAACACAATATTTATGTAACAAGTGATACATAAATATTGTGTTTGTTACCTGATTACTCCACCAATCTACATCAGCGGGGAAATACAGCATTTGGTCTTTATTATTCTGGTCCTTCCTTAACGGGTTTTGTAATGCATGATTGTCTTGTTCATTTACTTTGTACCGATATTCGCCCTTTAATACGGGAAGTCGCCATATCGATATATCACCGTTACAATGCATGCATAATAGTTTGGTAAAGTCTGGAGATGGTACCATACGGATGATAAAATTCTGAAATAAAATACTGAGAAGTTAGCGTTAGTTAACCCTCAAACACTGGGTTTTAACAATAGTAGGAAACATTCTCTCGTTAGCTATTGCTAAGCATAGATGGCGCAATTGTCATGAGAAATATTATTTTTTAATAACATATAATAGGAGATAACTGATACTTTTAAATTATGTAGCTCTTCATTTTTATTATTACGTTTTAGTTTTACTAGTAACGCTGGTCATACAAAAGATTTTTGTTTATATTTGTTCCAAAAAAGCTTTTAACGTTCAGAGATAGAAAGGTTCTGTTCCGCTCTCAGTAATTTTTAGACATGTAAGTCACACTTAGCGGTAAGTCTCAACTTTGAGTCTCTATCTAACCACCGCATTCCAAAACGTCACTCAAAATTAAATCTAGTGTCAAGAGCTGTCAGACTCTATTTTCTGTATGAAGTTTGACATTTTTGACAGCGCTCAGGACGAGATTGTGAATAAGATATGAATCAAAGTACGTCGCCATTATAAATAAAGTGAAGTGAAGTGAATCTAAGTATTTCAGTGACACATAGAGTTGTTGCAATTTAATAATTTTAATCTTGAATATTTGTTTGTTGCATAAAAATGTCATCTAATAAAGCATATAAGAAATTGATATATTATCTATGTTGATATACGTTATATTGACGATTTTTTACAATGTTTATTTCTAAATTTTCATCTTAAATAATACTCACCATATTCTTGGAATAGACAAATGGTATGTAGAGCTTAAATCGCTCCTGGGCAAGTTTTGCCTGCAACTCGTCTGATACAACTGATAGCTTATAGAATGGTTCATCGTTTAGAATACGCCAGGCGCTTAACCCCGCACATAACGAAGAACTATCATCCTGAAAATCTAAACTTATTAAAAATTATTGTAATAAACTCATTCATAACGTACAATTTCGTTACGGTTACATAAGGATAATTTGTTATTATATTTTATTTTTTATGAAAAAACACATCTTAATCGAATTCAAAGATTCTATAACAATACTATATTTATTTCGACTTCAGTTTTTATTAAAAAAAACGAAAATGTAATTTTGTTAACTTTCCATTGTTTATTATTCATTACAATTACGTCTTAAGACCATACCGCCTGTTTCTTTATTTATTCAAAATCTTGTGGAACAAATAGGTATATTTAGCAATATTTGTACTAATTTATAAGCGAATCAGCCCGCCCTTTTATAGAAATAAGGAAATGTCTAGTTAATGATATAGACAATTATAGAGAAATGTCAAAGAAATTGATTTTGAATCTATCTGTCTCATTAATGCGCCGGTCATACCTTATACACAGCCTGTGGCACTCCTGCTACATAGAGTATGCCGTGAGGCGCGCAATAGGCAGCTGCCGAAACTCCACCCGTAAAGTGGAAAGTGTGATGTAGTTTAAAGCCCTCTGTCTGAGATACAAGAAACCCGCGGAGCTTGCCATCATATGTTATAACCAGGACTTCCCAATTCCTATAGGATATAATCTTTTAAAGTCTTAATTACAAGACTTCTGTGGTACAGATTATCACTTTATATTGTAAACAACAACAGTGACAAAATGAAAATATAAGTTTTTTACCATATATGCCATTTATTGCCGCGAACGTCAAATCAAAAAAATCATATGCAATCTGCATCTACTGCATTTAAAAAAAAAATTATGTAACAGGCTCACCTGATGTTAAGTTAAATCACTGCCGCCCATTAACTCACATTGCCAGAAGGCTAGGAAATGCGTTGCCGGCCTTTTGAATTGGTCCGCTCTTTTCTTAAAGGACCCTAAGTCGAATTGGTTCGGAAATATTTTAGTGGGCAGCTGGTTCCATATAGTGGTGGTGCGCGGCAAAAATTGTCTTAAGAAACGCTCAGTTCTGGAACGACGGACATCGAGGTGATACGGATGGTATTTTGTATTCTGCCTTGACGTCCGATGATGAAACTCAGCTGCAGGTATTAATCCGACCAACCAACCAACTCCTCTGAACACTACACACTACACAAATGGTAAATGCGGTAGAAGATACAGCGCGACCCCACATCTTTACGCAACGCCAAGGATCAAGCCGCTAGGAGGGTCGTCGACGATTCGAATTGCTCTTCGTTAAATACGGTGAAGCGGTAGAATTTGGTACTTGGGAACTCCCGCCCTTCTCCTTTGCGGTATGGGCCAGCGAGAGAAATTCACTTGGACAGTTTTGGCAAGGGACCAGAAGGCTTGAGTCCCTGAAGGGAGAAGGGCCAATTTATCGCCCAAATCTTGCAAATTGCTCTGACTTTGCCTTAGCAATTTCCCGTTTGAAACAAGACAAGAAATTTAGACTTTATGGTTGGAGAGAAAAACTATTTTTAAGTTATAGTTAAACATATATCTTCTTAAAATTTTTCAAGGCAAAAGCAGATGGTTTAAATAATTATAACTCACCATTTGGTATCCTTAACTCTGAGAGGCATGAATATAATCTCTGAGACGGCATGAGTGTTATCAGTGCACTCCAATCCACCTGGTCTTGAGCAATCCTAAAAATATTAAAAACCTCTCAACTTTAATGAGTTTAATTGAAAGATACTAGCATTGTCACTACAATTGAAATGAAATACTATGGTATGGTTATTTTCCATTCACCTTACTGCCCCAAATAATTAAATATGTCTAGGTTTAAAATCAACAATATCTTCCAAATTCCTTCTGCCAAAACCAACCTAGGAGTTCAGGCACCTCTCGTTCGAATTCTTTGCGATTTTAACAAATTGAACACAGCTTATCCGGAGCTGAATATATTCGGTAGTGGGCTGATCGGTTTTAGAGAAAGCATTGTGGGGTGCCTTTCTCGAACCTAATTTCGCTGTTTTTCTGATGATTTTTCTTTTTTTTCTGCTTAGTGCCAACAAATTTCATTTTAATGAAATTTGTTGAAAATTTTATGTTATGTTTATGTTAAAAAAAAATATTTTATTTAAATGTGTGCTTGTATTGTCATGTGTGTTTTAGTTCTATTTTTTTTTAATTTCTATTTGATTTTTTTTTTGAGAAACTTATGCTTGCATTAATTGTCACACATTTTAGATGTAAGATTTTGTAAAATAATTACTAAATTTAGGACTGTGTGTGATGTAGTAAGCTTGATAACTAAATAAATAAATAAATATGTCAACACAAAGAAAAAAAAAAATCTAAAAATATTTGTACAACCCACAAGGATTATTAGATAAGAGTTTATGTCTACTTACAATAGGGATATTAAAAAGGTTTGATGCAGTTAGATCAAAAAAGCTGACTACTCCATTTCCATAAGTGATGACTAAGAAAGAGCAATCTGGACTCCAAACCACCTTTCGCCATTGAGGATATGGGTCCCTAGAAACTAATAAATACATCCCGTCATACCACACATCAATATATATACTTTCTTAAACTTTAATTATTACCTGTAGTTCTGGCAGCAATGGTAGCATAATCAGATCTCTTAGTTCTAATCTCCAATATATTGTCAGTAAGTACAGCTATGACTTTTCCTTCATCACCTAAGGCTATATGCCATTTTTGTTGTTTTTCAGTGTGCCTAAAAAGTAATAAATATAACAAAATTTTATAAAATCTAGGCAATAAAGAAAATATACTATCTTGTAAACAACAATTTCTCTAAAAACACAAAATTAATATTTTCTATTATAGTTTATACTTACGCAGTTACACTGTCAAGCAAGCTTTTTTTGGGCCCAAAAAATTTAAGCCATTTCCATAAAGCTGATATATTTTCTGGAAATATATTGTCAGGCTTTTGCTGTAAAACAATATTGTATGAAAAAACGCAACAGTTTTAGTTAGTGGCTGATATAAAATCTTACCAAGTACTCAGGCTCTGGTTTCCACTCAGAGAATACGTATAGTTCGTGTAAAATTGACTTCTGATCTGCCATCGCGGATTTTACACTATATAAATTTTTAGTTTTTAAGGACAGCGGGATATAAATAAATCTTAAATGTTTTCACAAGTCAATACGTACACAATACACATCTGTGTAGTGTGTATCCAATTATCAATAATCAATACTGATCACTGACACAAATTTGATAATTGATAGTATTGACATCTGACAAATCTTCTAAAGACGACGAAAAGAGAAGCCTTAAGGCCTGAGCGCTAAGTTTGACATATGTGGTCTATTATCTGAATATCAGCAGCTATGTTCAACTGCATAGAGATGAACTCTATGAGACTATGGTGTTTGTTTTGATTATTTTATTTGCCTATTCATGAAATTACTGATTAATTCTATAAAAGTCGTAAAAAAATATTGTTTACTGTTTATTATATGTGCTGAATAAAATGAATTTCTTACATAATGTTTATAAAAAGGCAAGTAAGGTTATCATTATTAACTAACTGTTTAAATTTAAGGTTACTTATTTATTATCTTGTGTTTTCAGAGTTTAGAGGAAAATGAGCGTAATTTAAATTTCTGGGAGGCTTATGTCGATGATCTTAACTCTCTAGACTTTAGTATATTTAGTGATAAGCTTACAGTACCGGTTTTGGTGCCAATCGGGAATAAAATATTCTTCAGAGGTTTGTTGAAACACACAAATGAAGTAACTGTTTCACTTGGTGCTGATTACTTTGCAAAATGTTCCATTAAACAAGCTGAAATAATTAAACAACATAGAATTAAAGGTAAGAGAGTATATATAGTATATTAGAAATGCCCTAATATTTAGTTTAACAATGATAAACTTTTATTTATTTGTACCAAATCAATTTATAGATGCGCAATCCAAACTTGACTTATATAGAAAAGAGACAGGGTATTTGGAAAATCAGCTTAAATTAAATAAATGTACTAATGACACCTTGGGTCAAGATATTATTGAAACATGTACGGAAGAAGAAGATAGGATATGGAAAGAAAATCACAAAGAAAAAGTCAAACAATACAATCAGAGTAAAGAAAAGCATTTAGATAAATGTGATAATGAATTGACAGATAACGAACTTTGGAGTAGGTTAGAAGAATTAGAACTACAAGAAGAGTTAGAAGAAGAATACTTGAGCATGACAAACGGGAAAAATTATGAAGAGGCAGATAATTCATTGATTATAAAGGATGATATACCAACAAAACCAAACCCCGTTAACATGTCTAAACAATTAACTGAAGTTGTTGGGGTTCCAGACCACAGCAATAATTCTGAATCTAAAGTACCAATTTTAGAGCAAATAATGATTAGGCAAAAAGATCTTGAATTTAAACTAACTGAATTACAAAATAAAAAGGGAGGAAACAGTAAGACTGAAGAAGACTTACTTGAAAAACTAAATGAAATTGATCAACTCGATGAACTTGAAGATGAAATGAACAGGTATAATTTTTTTAAATTTGTGTGACTTATCTTTATATAATTAATCATATTGTTTATGTTTATAGTAACTAATAGTGATATATTTCTAACATAATTCTTAAATAAAAAATGTCTTTAATTAAAATAAATGTTATTATTATTATAGATTAGATGATATCTTAAATGAAGAATCTGAAGAGTCAGATAAAACTACTGAAGAAATTTCTACTCTTAGTTCAAAGAAAACTGTAACATTTGCCAATGATGATGATAGCAAAACTTTAGAAATAAGTTTGAAACATTCAGATGTAGAACCTGACACTGCACCCTACAACCCTACTAGTGGAATTAAAAAACCAAGTGATATCTATGAGGCAATCTCCACAAAATTACTTAATGAAACTAAATCTATTTTAAAAAAGACAAAATATGTAAACAATGATTTAAAGCATTCAGATGAAAATAAATACAATATAGAATCACCTGAAATTGAAACACAGAGAGAAACAATTGTAGTAAAAGATGTGTTAGAGAAAGTGGATGAAAATAACAAATTACATAGTCAGCTTAGACCAGCTAGCCTATTCAAAAAGAGGAGACAGATACAAATGAAATAATTAAAATATATAAGAATAAAACAAGAATTTGTTTCATTTTATAAATTAATTATTCTTTTAGAAAGTATTGTAATTTTTTTTAATGTTTAAATAAAAAAAATTTTAAAGTCGCAATCCCAACCCATGCAGCTTTTTGTCGCTTCATCATCTGTACAATTATTTTATCTCTCGCAGTAACTAAAATTGTTACGGAAGGTTTAGTGAGTGAGTGACAAGTATGGTTGCCACCTTAGTTTGCAATTAAAGAACAACAACACAAGAGAAAAAAAAGTACATAGTATCCAAGTAATGCACAATTTATTTTTATTTAGTATTATATTTCAAAATTTATTTTTTATTGCTTTTTGCAGTTGGTTTTTAAATTCCGTTGAACGAAAAAAATAAAAATATTTACAACTAAAGAAAAATTACACCATGCTAAGTAAAGTATTTTCGTGTACATTATTGTTCTCATAAAGTATACAAAATAAATTACAATACTTCATTATAAAGTACTGGGCCCTCGTCCACTTCGAGTGTGATTAAGGTGCCAACATTTCAAATTTATGAAGAACAAAATAATGTTAAAGGATAGAGACACATGAAAACAAGCATATTTTTAAAAGTTTAACTGAATATATTTGCGAGAACAGAATACGCAAATATTAATGAAACTTAACGTTTTAAATACAACTTTTAATCTCTTCCGTCAAAAATATGCAATATTTTCTCGTTGAACAATATGGTGTGCGTTTTCCAATTACAGAGCATAATGCGACTCAGTGCCGCACAATGCCCCATTATGCTGAAGCTTAATTGGAACGTGAATTAGTTTTCAAATGCATCAGCAGAGTGCGCTAAATCAGTGTTGAAAAAAAAATGTTCTGAATGAGTTAGCAACCTCATTAATGTAAAAATAATGTGGTAAACAATAATAATTGGTTGAAAACTATTTAGGCTTATTTTAATAATCAAATTATTTCATTAACATTTTTTTACTGAAATAAGAGAAAACCTTTAAAGAATATAAGGTTTTAACAAGCTAAAATAACAGTAAAATATTTAGTTTCATGTAAGAAGTTTACATCATTTACGTTTTGAGTAATTTTTTTAAATGATTTCTAAAACTATACTTTTTCAAAACCATTGTAATGTTTACAAAAGTATAATCCTGTAAAATAAATTTGTTTACAGATCCGAATTTTAAAATGAAATTGTATTCATATTTAAAATGTGGAATATAAAAAAAAGTAACTATTTATACCTTCATCCATACTTATATTTATTTTTTTTAACCGTTTGAAATAACTTTAATTATTTTCAAAATCTACAACGAAACGAAAGCCTTACAAATTTTTCAACAATAAATAATATTTACTAACGAAAATTTCGATCAATGCCAACTTAAAGAAAAACACTGGTCAATTTTCTGTCACTGTGTTGGTATGATTGCGAGAAGCACGCGAGAGCATTACTTTTGAGAGTGCTCAATTGTGCGAAGCGTTGCTGTAGTTGGAACATTCAACGTTGAGCATTATGCCGCATAATGCGCTCTAGTGCTGTAATTGGAAAACGCACGGTGTTCGCTCTAAGTGATATACCTATTGTCCGTAAACATCGTATATTATTTTTATCATTTAAAATTCGTTAGGTGTTAAAATGATATCGAAGACTTCCGAATCTACATCACCATACAAATCGTGAATTTTTTGGCTGTGCATCTGATGCGTTTTTGTGTTTGTACATTAACGCTTTGTTCATCCGCTGTAGTCGCCTTGTGACTACTTGTTCCTAATAGAAAAATAAGCCAATAGATGGCACTGACACTAAAAACTGTAATTGTTATTGGGCTATCTGTGTAATCATCAAATTTTTTATCAGAATGGAAATTATCGTACAATCTGTGTACGATAGTCGTGTACCATCGTACATCGTACATAGTTATGAGATTATCGCACATGTACGATAATTATCGTACGGTTGTGAACACTGCTGTGAATAATATAAAATTATAAATACATATGTATACAAATCGTATTCTATATGATATATGTTTTATTAATTACTGTTCCTTTCCATAATGTAGTATTTTGTATTAGAGATAGTTTTATATCCTGCTGATCCTATCCTTTATCGATGTAATTTTCATTCGATGTAAAAAAAAATTTTTTTCTTTACTATTCCGTTTTCCTTACCTTTGTCTGTGGCAATACGCTCTACGTGAGGCTATTTAAAAAAAAAAAGTACGGGTGGCAACCTTAGTGACAACTGACAAGTAACAATATACAGTAGTTCAATTATTATTAAAATACTGTATTCCTTTAGAGATAAGAGAACTGAGAAGCTTTATATCTGTGGTTTATTTAATGCTTTAGGTTATGTGATAATAATATGTCAATACCAAAGTTATAAACAATATTTAAATTAATATTTAGTCTAAACAGTTTACAAAATGCTTAGTGCATTAAGAAATAAGTTTCGTGTATCCGTCAATACTGTCGTAAGATCGTTTCAAACCACAGCAACAGTAGCTACGGAGCGTTTTGATCACAAAAGAATCCCAGCTGATGATGAAGGTGTACAGGGAGAAAAGATAATAGATTTAGACTCTGTCTTAAAACAGTAAGTAAAATAGAGTAATAGTTTCGAGTTTATTACTTATACATATTTATTAATAAATAATTATATCATTATTTTTTAGAAAACGAAATATTTTCCCTACACTTGAATCTGATAAAGAATTACATGATGGTATACTTTACAAAGATCTGCCAATTTGTAACATAAGAGTAACACATAATAACACCATCTTTACTTTAACAAGTGCAGAAGGTGCTGTAAAAATAATACGGTCTTGTGGCATGGAAGGTTTTAAAAATACAAAAAAAGGCACTAACATTGCTGCACAGACTACTGCTATAAGTATTGCATTAGTAAGTACTTTATATAAATTACAAAACTAACAAAACAAACCCGACATATTGATATACATAATTGTTTCTCAAATACTTATTTTATTTTGTAGAAAGCTATAGACAAGGGGTATAAAACTATTAAAGTACGAGTAAGGGGCTTGGGTCCTGGAAGATTAGTAAGTATTGTCTCATTCTTAAGGCATATCTGCTTTGAAATGTAAAGAAATTTGTAGAACTATGTTACAGCTAGAATGTTAATATAATTTTCTTTCAGTCTGCTGTAAAAGGTTTGACAATGGGTGGTTTACAAGTTGTATCAGTGACAGATGCAACTCATGTTTCATGGAATCCTCCTAGACCACGAAAAGCGAGAAGATTGTAGATAACTTTGTTTACTATACATATTTAGTTTTAATTGTAACTTTGGTAGAAATAAATAAATAAAAAAAATTGTATTTATTCCACAAAAATTAACTATGAATATTCTAATTCCTAAAAATTAAATTCAAGATTCATATTCGTAAGACAATGTACACTTATGAATTTTAGTAAAAAATTAATTATTAAAATAAGGCTATGCCCTAAAATTTCCAATTGCCTAATATATGCCTATAATAGTTTAAATAAAAAAGGTTTTTATTTTCAAAGTAACATTTTAACTATTTTGAAGATTTTCTTTTAACTACTAATGCAGCAAATAAAAATGTTTTTATTGTATTCTGTATTACTTTGCCTTATTGGGAAACAAAAATAATTCCCCATTGTTTCAGGGACTGGGACCCTGATATTTCTGTTCCATTATTTAAATATCAAATAAAAGTTCCTTCTTTAAGCTTGTCATGACGTAGCTTCAGGAAAACTTTAAGGTGAGAGCATTGCCATTCTTATCTAGCCTGCACAATTTTTTTTATTTCTTTCTTTTTTTTATTTGCTTCACCTGGCCCAAGGCACCTCTTTAATGTCATTCTTTACTTCTACTATTTAGTCATAAGTTATTATTCTGACCTGGGATTTAGATGTATTACAACCACGTTTTTTTAGGATTCATGGAGATTTTATGCATTTTCATCAAACAATTTCATTTTCTAAAGCTATCATAATAAATTTACCTTCAAGTCTTGAATTATTAAATAACGAAGATTACAAAATAGACACGTGAAATTTGTTATAAATTAAGTTGCAAAATTGGTGGTGTCATGACATTGTAAGGAATTTAAAATAATGAATTGATATTTAGAATATATGCTTTATAACATTGACAAAGAACGTCGCCTTGTATCAATTCAAAAAGATGCTATGCAAATCGTACCCCTACACTTCATACAGTAGGAGGTGCCAGGTCTGATGGCAGCCAGCATCAGACTTTCGCACTTAGATCTGTGGGAAAAATAAAAAAATAGAACAGGGCAATAGAGTATCAACCACTTATAGCTGCGCCATGTGATAGGTTCGCTAACCAACACATTTCCAACAGGAACAAAGCAGGATAAACAAGAGAAGAGGATAATGATCAAACAACCTTTTTTTTTTTAAAAAAAATCTTGCTGTTGGCCTTAAGGGCCTTTACATCTCAGCTCGGGCTGTTGATCAAACAACCCAGAATAAGCTATGTTTATATATATACTGATGGCTCAAAAGCGTGGTGTGGTTCCCGCGCTGACATATTCTCTCTTGATCTCAACATTAACATACCTTTAGGCACAAACAGCTCGATTTTTTAATGTGAATGTGTCGCTCTAACCAAAGCAGCCTAAGTCCTAACCTAGGAAGGAGCTAATTAACTTATTAAGACTTCAAATACAACAGACCAAATAAGTGTAGAAACTGAGTCCACTCTACTACTACTATTAGCCACTTAGTTGCATTATGGCTGTAGACTAGCAACAATTATTATAGTTAAAAAATAAAATTAACTTTATTAAAATAACGATTTTCTTTAAATTCAATTACCATTTTCTTAAAAGCCATATTTAGATTGGGTCTGTCTTTTTGTCATTCTATTGTTTGCCCATTGATTCTGTAATTCTGCTTCATTTGCTTTTGCCTAAAAATAAAAATAAATATATCCTTAAATGTTCACTTGTAATCAGGGGGTAATACAACAATATATTAAGTTAATAATTTGTAGCTTTACATTTAAGCATATAAATGTTATAATAATTACTTTATGTGCTAAGTAGGTAATTTGATGTTTTCTTTTCTGTTGACTTGTTGGTTCATTGCCCTTTTTCTTGCTATGGGACTGCCTCTTAGTAGTGTCATCCATAAGTCCCTTGAGTAACATTTCTCTTGCATCTTTAAGCACTTCTTCTTGATTTACATCAACAATCTGAATTTCTTCCCTTTTGCGTTTGCCTCTTGCACCACATAGTTTTAAGATCTGCAATATAAAAATTATTATAGTAAAAATACATCCATAAAATGATGGATGATTATGATATTTTATTACTCTTATCAGCATATAAAATTTATTAATTTTAATACATATATCAGTTCAAGTGTTAACTAATTGCATGAAATTAACAATTCTAAATTAAAAAATACTTAATAACTTACAGCTTCTTCATCCAATACATCTCCACTACTGGCAGGATCAACTGGGATAACATCTGATTGATTACTGCTATATTCAGACTCTTCTCTTACTAATTGAGGTTCCATACCTTGATAATCAGGTTCCAATGTAATATGATCATCTTTTTTGAAATATGATTCAAGAGACCGAGGTTCCTTTTGAGATTGTTCAACTTTAACATCAATATCAAAAAGTACATTTTCTGGGATCACTTCTACAGGTTTATTTATTGAGAAGAAATCATTCTGAAGATCATCAGTATCACTTTCATCTGAATAGTCAGTTTTAACTGCACTTTTTGTTTCAACCTTGTTTTTTTTTAAAATACTTGGTACACAGTCTTTCTTTTTTACAGTTGAAGGTGGCTTGTTAGATACAGATTGTGGTATTAGCATTTTTGTGGATACTTTAGAGCTGTTTTTGGGCTGTGGAAGAATACTTAAGAGTCCTGATTTTTTCTGAAAAATAAAGGAATATAGTAATTAGTTAAGTTTGGATTGTTACCAGTACAGTATTTCTTTTTATCATTATAGTAACAAATTTACCTCTTTGCTAACTTTTCTTTTAGCACTTGGAACTGTATCTTCTATATCTTTAAACTGTAACAGAATTATAAATTTAATTAGATTTAAATATCTCTATTTTTATATATTTTGTCTGTAATTAGAATAAATCACTACATACATCACCCAGAGATGGTACAGTAATTCTTGATTTAGGTTTAACTTCACTTATTATCTCTTTTTTTAAGCAATATATCATCGTCATCCTCCTTTAATGTTATTTTTTGTTTAGTTGGCTTAGGAAGGAGATTAAAAAGATTTTTTTCATTCCTAACTTCTGTTCCATTGGCCAATGGCAAATCAGGTAATATAGCTGCAACGTCAATATATAAAAGATGAGCAATGTGATCTTAGAACTGTAAGTGCATGTAAGTAAGTTGTAGTGTTAGTACCTTGTAATTTTGAAGTCTCTCCAGTACATTCAGGTTCATCATAATCACTTGAGTCACTGTTATCATACGCAACTAAAGCCATTATAACTAACAATTAAATACGTAATTGGTTAAGTAATTCAAAAGAGTTTCTTTAATAACACATAACTTAATAACACATAACTTAATAAAAATATTACGAATATTGAAATTTGTAAAAACTCTTACATTTACTGTTTTTAAACTATTTTATAAATTATTTATTAATTATTATAGCCATCAGCCACAGTTTGTACCACAGAGTACCTTCAGGTGTAAGTCAGCGACTATAGTGCGTTTTCCAATTACAGCACTAGAGCGCATTTTGCGGCATAATGCTCAACGTTGAGTGTTCCAACTACAGCAACGCTTCGCACAATTGAGCACTCTCAAAACGAATGCTCTCGCGTACTTCTCGCAAACAATACCAACACAGTGACAGAAAATTGACCAGTGATGTAAACCTCTTTGATGTAAACTTCTTACATGATACTATTATAAAATGATGACATTGTCAATCTGTTTAGACACTAACTTTTGTCAATGTATCAAATGTAACCTTATATTCTTCAAAGGTTTTGTCTTATTTCAATTTAATAAGCTAAATAAAAAGAAACATGGATAAATATCTTCGCCCTGAAAGATTTGATATCGACCCGTCAAATAGCTCTGGTACGAAAGCTTGGATACACTGGCATAAGACTTTCGAAAGCTTCATTTCCGTGCAGAAACCGACCGCTCCAGAAACAGATGCACAGTCGGTTCCTCCGTCAGAAAAATGGGACAGCATAAAGTTTCAGCTTTTGATAAATCATATATCACCTAATATATACACATATATAAGCGAAGCCACGAACTACGAAGAAGCGATCACAATACTGCAAAAACTGTATGTAAAACCAAAAAATCTGATTTTTGCTAGACACATGTTAGCAACAAGGAAACAACGATCAGAAGAAAGTATCGACATATATTTACAAGCTTTGAAACTACTTTCTAAAGATTGTGACTTTGCGGCTGTTGATGCAGAATCAAACAAAAACGATAGCGTGCGTGATGCTTTCATATCCGGTATATCATCGCATAAAATCAGACAAAGGCTTTTAGAAAACTTAAATCTAACACTTGACCAAGCTTACAACCAAGCACTCTCTCTAGAAACTGCAGGGATCAACTCTCAAAGCTTTCATACTGTGTCTTTAAATGCCGTTGAAGAAGAACCTAAATTAGTCTGTCCCAAATCACAAACTGTGCACGACGAGACCTGCTCTTCTGTTAATAATCCTCGACGACGAAAATGTTCCTTTTGTGGGGGACAAATACATCCTCGTAAGAACTGCCCTGCATTTGAAAAGTCTTGTCAGCTCTGCAACAAGAAGGGGCACTTTGCCACTGTTTGCAGAAGCTCTTCTAAACCTACAAATTTTATGGTAGTAGGTACTGAAAATCTTTCTTGTATCACAGCAGCGTCACCTTATTCATTACACAAAGCTACTGTACCCGCGTTTATTCGAGGAATAAGAGCAGAGGCACTTCTCGACACCGGCAGCTCCATCAGTTTTATAAATGACAGTTTTGCAAGACTATGCGGGTTAAAAAGAAAATCCTGCAATCAGATTATTTCTATGGCCTCTCTTAATCATACTTCACAAGTAGAAGGTCAAACTTTGCAAAGCCTGAAAATTGGAAATCATAAATATGATATTGTGAATCTTCTTATCGTGAAAAATCTTTATGCTGACATAATTATCGGCCATGACGTCCTCGAAGAACATTCATCGCTAGAGTTCTCTTTCGGTGGGCCAAAACATCCACTTCAAGTATGTAACGTAGCCGAAGCATCAGTACCAGCTGTACCGCTTTTTGCAAATGTATCTCCCAACTGCAAACCTATTGCTATTAAGTCTCGAAGGCACAGCAAACAGGATAGTGAATTTATTAAAGAGGAAATCAGAAACCTTACAGAAGAAGGCGTGATTGAAGAAAGTAAATCACCGTGGAGGGCCCAAGTACTAATAACAAAAACCGAAACTCATAGAAAACGTCTTGTGATTGATTACTCCCAGACAATTAATCGTTACACAGAACTCGACGCGTACCCTTTACCAAACATTGAGGACTTAGTTTCGAAAGTGGCAAAGAATTTATTTTTCAGCCTAATAGACTTGAAAAGCGCGTACCATCAAGTACCTATACTACCCGAAGAAAGAAAATTTACCGCTTTTGAAGCGCTCGGAAATTTGTACCAGTTCAGGCGTATCCCTATTGGAGTAACAAATGGTGTTTCGAGTTTCCAACGAACAATCGATTGGATTATAAGGAAAGAAAAGCTTCAAAACACATATGCGTATCTTGATGATATAACTATTTGTGGCCGTACTCTTCAAGAACACGATCATAACTTAGAAAGTTTTATGAATGCCGCAAAGAAATACGGTTTAACACTGAGTATGCTAAAATGCAAATTTTCTCAAGAGTCAATTAATATTCTAGGCTATAATATTCAAAACCACATAATTAAACCTGACAGTGAGCGACTCAAGCCACTGATTAATTTACCTGCACCAAGCGATTTACCGACCTTAAGAAGGACACTCGGCATGTTCGCACATTATTCTAAGTGGATTCCAAACTTTTCTGAACGGATCCACTCATTTGCTAATACGACTACTTTTCCGCTCACAAGCGAGCAAATTAAATGTTTCCAAGGCCTGAAAAATGATATCGCAAAGTCTTCTAGACATGCAATTGATGAAAATATACCTTTTACAGTCGAAACTGACGCTTCCGATCATTCCATTGCAGCAGTACTTACGCAAAATTCTAGACCAGTGGCGTTTTTCTCAAGAACTTTGAATTCAAGCGAACAAAACCATTCCGCCATTGAAAAAGAAGCGTACGCCATTGTTGAATCATTGAAGAAATGGAGACATTTCCTTATCGGTAGACACTTTAAGTTGGTAACTGACCAACGCTCGGTTTCTTTTATGTTTAATATGAAACATTCAAGTAAGATAAAGAATGAAAAGATTCAAAGATGGCGACTGGAACTTGCTGTTTTCAAATTTGATATTATATACAGACCGGGGAAAGAGAACTATGCTGCTGATGCACTATCCCGAGTTTGTGCCACTGTAGAAACACGTACTGCAAAACTTTTCTCGCTGCATGAGGCTCTTTGTCATCCAGGGGTAACGAGAATGTTTCACTGGGTTCGCTCTAAAAACCTTCCCTATTCCATTGAAGAAGTCAGAACAATGACAAAATCTTGTCAAACCTGCTCTGAAGTAAAACCTAGATTCTTCCGAAATACTTTTGATGACCAGAGGAAACTTGTTAAAGCGACGGCTGCTTTTGAACACCTTAGCTTAGATTTTAAAGGACCAGTTCCAACAAACAATAATAATAAATTCATACTTACCGTGATTGACGAATTTTCACGTTTCCCGTTTGCTTTCCCATGCTCAGATGTAAGCTCGAAAACTGTAATTAAACACCTCAACAACTTATTTATGATATTCGGCATGCCTTCTTACGTTCATTCAGATCGCGAAACAGCATTTCTCTCTGCCGAAGTACAGGATTTTTTACATGTTAGAGGTATTGCCACAAGTAGAACTACAGCTTATAACCCTCAAGGTAACGGGCAAATAGAAAAATTGAATTCTACTCTTTGGAGAACGATTCTTTTGGCGCTGAAGACGAAGAATCTTTCGGTAGAAAATTGGGAGCAAGTATTACCACAAGCCTTACATTCGATTCGATCTTTACTTTGTACAGCCATAAATTGCACTCCACATGAAAGAATGTTTAGACACCCAAGACGATCTACTAACGGCACTTCTGTTCCATCGTGGCTTACAAATTCTGGACAAGTCTTGATGAAGAAATTTAATCGTACAAATAAATATCAGCCATTAGTAGAAGAGGTTGAATTGATACACAGCAATCCTGACTATTCATACATTCGGTTCCCAGATGGCCGAGAAACAACGGTGTCAAATCGTCATTTAGCACCATTGGGTTCAGAAGGGGTAGATCTGCGAATAAATAATGACTATCATAACGCCACAGAACCACGTACGGAAACAGAAGACCAAAACTTGGAAATTCCTTTATCTAATGAGATGGGACCTGTGGTACTTGATAATAGCAGAGAGCTAGAGACTGATCTACCATCATCACCAACGCCGGAGCCAACACTTCGTAGATCTGGCACCGAGTTACCATCATCATCACCGCCGGAGCCAACACTTCGTAGATCTGGCCGCGTCCGTAAAAGACCAGAATTATTAAAAGATTACATTTTAAAATAGTGCGGGAGAATGATGTAAACCTCTTTGATGTAAACTTCTTACATGATACTATTATGATGACATTGTCAATCTGTTTAGACACTAACTTTTGTCAATGTATCAAATGTAACCTTATATTCTTCAAAGGTTTTGTCTTATTTCAATCAGTATTTTTCTTTAAGTTGGCATTTATTGACATTTTCGTTAGTAAATATTATTTATTGTTGAAAAATTTGTAAGGCTTTCGTTTCGTCGTAGATTTTGAAAATAATTAAAGTTATTTCAAACTGCTAAAAAAAAAAATATTAGTATGGATGAAGGTATAAATAGTTACTTTTTTTATATTCCACATTTAAAATATGAATACAATTTTATTTTAAAATTCGGATCTGTAAACAAATTTATTTTACAGGATTATACTTTAGAAAAAATTGCAATGGTTTTGAAAAAGTATATAATTTTTTTAGAAATCATTAAAAAATATTACTCAAAACGTAAATGATGTAAACTTCTTACATGAAACTAAATATTTTACTGTTAATTTAGCTTGTTAAAACCTTATATTCTTTAAAGGTTTTCTATTATTTCAATAAAAAAAATTGTAATGAAATAATTTGATGATTAAAATAAGCGTAAAAAGTTTTCAACCAATTATTATTGTTTACCACATTATTTATACATTAATGAGGTTGCTAACTCAATTCATAACATTTTTTTTACAACACTGACTTAGCGCACTCTGCTGATGCATTTGAAAACTAATTCAAGTTCCAATTAAGCTTCAGCATTATGCGGCATTGTGCGGCACTGAGTCGCATAATGCTCTGTAATTGGAAAACGCACATATTATAGCGATAAGCGAGTATTGAGTATTTAACATAGATAAAGTTAAGTAGATGTCAAATGACCAGCTGGCCCGTCAGGAAATATGATCACAAATTTTATTTCACCGAGATAAGGTTCAAAAAAATATTTCTGTAGTTACTAGTTTGTCTGACCGGTGTAGTTGTTAACAATATTGTTTGTTAATACATAAATAATACTGGCGTTTCCTTTGATTTAATTGAGCTAGTACGCAAAAAGTTCTTAATTTTTTTTCGACTTATGGTACTGTTTTGCATAAAATTAATTTATAAATAATTTCAGGCAAATACTAAACAAAGATGCCTAAAAAGTTTGTGGGAGAAAATAGCAAAGCGGTCGCGGCACGACAGCGTAAAGAGAACGCTAAACAAGAGAACGACCAAAAGATAAAAAAAATGGTAGAAGATGCCGAGTGGGAAGATAACGACGAAAAACTTAAGAAAAAACAACAGAAAAAGGTAACATTTTTGTATTTAAAGCGAGTAATAAAATTAAGGTTTAAAACCATGGGAGAAATTATTTCAGGATGAACAAGAAAAAAAGCGACAAGAACAGTTGCAAAAGAAAGCAGAAGCAAAGGCCTTATTAGAAAAAGAGATGGAATCTATAAAGGGAAAAGCGCTTCCACCACCACCAAAGATCACCCGTGCACAGATATCTCAAATAAAAGAAAAGACTACTAGACCGGAACCTACTGTAAAATCAGTGGTAAAGACTTGTTTTATTAATTTTTCTATTATGATTGAAATTCAGGTTGATAAGTTTAGTTAAGTCTTCATTAGAATATGATTTGGGATGTTTTAAATTAATTGCAAATATTATTTCAGCCTGCTAGAGTGGTTGTTGAGGAACCACCTCTAGAAGAAAATCTCAACAGGTTACAAATTGAGGGTGAGTCAGCACAAACTGTTGACGAGGCTATCTCAATCCTAAGGTAAGTTCAGTAATATTGTATATTGAAAATGTATAAAAGCAGTAAAATTGTTAAATCTTTTAAATTAATAATATCTGTTTTAGTGAAAAGGCAGATGTAGACAAACACCCTGAAAAGAGATTGAAGGCAGCTTACACTGCATTTGAGGAAATTAACCTCCCTAGATTAAAAGCTGAAAACCCTAGTTTACGGCTCTCACAGCTTAAACAGATGCTTAGGAAAGAGTGGTTGAAGTCACCAGAAAACCCTTTAAACCAGGCTTAGGCTAACAAAAAGGATATATAGGATCTTGAGATAACAAAATAGGTAATTTTAACTAAAAAAAGTTCTTTTTTGCTTATATTGCATAAAACATGGTAAAAATATATAGTATACAGTTAAACTTATGTATTAAACATATTGTCATAATTGTAAATAAATATTTTTAATCACTCCGGTTCATTTAAGTACTGTAAAGGAATTCCTTTTCTCCCCTCTTCTACTTGTTTTACATTAGATTCCCCAAGTTTCTGTTCTAATCCTTTCCATGACCTTTTGCTAAGGCTTTGCCCAATATTTTCCAACTGCCAATTCTGTTTTTCCACCAAATCTGTACTAGAACTTGCTGCTGTAACTTTAGTTTCCCTGATTTTTCCAGTTATTAAACTAACATCAGTGCTATCACAAATATCATTGATATCTTTATAATGTTTGTTTCCTGGTAGTAACTCTTCATAATTAGTAATATGAGAGGTAAAGTAGAAATCTCTGTTGGTGTTAAGAGCTACTTCTAATTCATATGGATAAACTAATGCCTGATAAAAGTCTCTGCTATCATATAAATCGTTTTCAGGACATGCAATCATAACATAAATATCAATCTGCAACAATATTGTTAATATTTGTAATAAACGACTTAACCAATTATTGGAAAGCTATAAAACAGCTGATTATTACAAAGCATAAGTTACCTCTGGAAAATTAGCCAGTTTTGCCACATTTGGTTTGCCAACTGATACAACATAACATTTTTTACCATTGGCCTTGCATAATTGCTTCATTCTACTAATAATTTGTTTTGTCTGATCCCCAGCCAGTTTACATACAAGAATACCAACAACATTTGCATCTTTACACTTTTCTATCAAAAACCTCCTGCGTTTAAACCAAATAGTTTCTTGTATGACATCTAATTGATTTGATGCAGGATCCAATAAGTACCATTTCTCAGCTATTAACAGAGATCATATTAGTTTTCAGAAAAGATAGTACATATTTAATATATAAATAGCCAACAGCTATAGTGCCTTAATTTCAAAATAACCAATAATAATAATAATAATAACCAATAATATTTAAGTAAAGATTACAGATCAGAGTAACTGAGTTGTAAAAGTTAATGCCAAAATTATAACTAATTAAAAGAATTGTAAATCTTTTTTATATTGCAATTTGATATAGTACAGCAACCTTTTTGAAATCATTACTAGATAACTTATGTATGCAAGAAAAAATTTTAGTCAACAGTGAATTGATAATCTTAATTTAATTTAAAGATTATCAACTATCCTACCCTACAAGGGCATAATTATTATTAATTGATATATTTGTTATACACCTTTCATCAGTAGATAGCTTTTTCATCTTAAGCAGCAGCATAGGCTTTTCACATTTCTAATTTCTGTTACAATAAATAACTGAATAATTTCTTACAAGATCTGAATTTTATAATGTACTAATTATAGTGTGTAAGAAACTTTTGCTGGTTTAGATTATTTACTATCTGTCGCCATATTGATTTTTTATTGCAGGAATAGTTATTAAAAAAATATCTATACCATGTCTTTATGTTATAGTAAATATTTGTAATATAATCAAAAGTTCTCATACCTTCTACTGATACTGTAAAATTAAAGAAAGTTTGTCCTCTTGAACCAACATATATACAAACACAGTCTTTAAGAATTTCACTAGAATATTCTTCACTGGATACATTTTTAACTATTCTGCCAAAGAATCTATTTATGCTTTCTTTAAAAGATATAGATGCAATATAGCTATTGGGATATTGTTGGAACCACTTCTCAGTTAGTTCATCTGAAAATTAGTTTTTAAAATTATATGTAAATAAAATATTATCAACATTCTGAAAAAAAAAACATGTTATAAACATAAAACAACACATAAAATGCCAATTCTTTTTTTCTTTACAAAACTGAACAGACATTTGGCCTCAATCACTCCTGAGTGACATCCAGCCTATTGGAGGGCACACTTGTCTAGGAGATGCTTATCTAATTACCACTCAAAAATGAACCCATATTAAACTGTCTAGGAAAGATGGAAAGGGCAAGGAGTTCCAGTTGTTTGCTGTTTTTAAAAGAAACTACAATCCAAATTGTGCAGTGCAAAACCTGGGGATGTCAATAATGAAAGGTTGAAACTACAGCATGCTTTGATGTGCAAAGGCGATGATGGAATCAGGTTCTTTAATTCAATAGAGCATTCTCCAGAGTGCAATCTATAGATGACTGGCAACTAAACGGCAATGTATCAAGGAATTCACTTGCCACCTGGGCCTTAAGAATGAATAAAATGCCCACAGCTGAGATTGGCCGGCAAGTAAACACCAAGCTACTTAAATTTAATTAGGAATCAATTCTTAGTCAAATCAAATTACTTAAGGCATTAAAGAATAAACAACATAGGACATTGAGCATATAGTCTGAATGTTTTCTAGACCCTATATAAATTACCTTTTAGATGATTAAATTCACAATCATACAATAAGCATAATTTTTGAAGATTAAAGTCTGTCAAATTTTCTCTTAATATTTTCATTGTAATGTCAATATCTAATGACTTTTGATTCAGTACTATATATACTGGAATGTTGGTTTTACTGAAGCATGTATGCCCATAATGTACTATGGCATTACTTTGGACATGCATGGAAGCAACAACGTCAGCACAGCAACTGAAATAGAGATGACAACAACAATTTTAATTGAATTACTTTAATGTATTTATCAACTATTTTTACAAATTTGTGATGGAGTCAAAAAATATTGCATCTCTTATTTGTATAGAAATAAATAAACCATATGATTTTTTTACCTGGCATAGGAAGTATCACCTAGAATATAGAGATCTGCTTCTGTCCCCTTTTTCAATTCCTCATATACTTTGGAACTTATGCCCAACAACTCGTCTGGAAATTGTAAACATACCTAAAAAGTTAAGTTATTAAGCTAAAGGATTTATGCATAAATAATTTATATTTGAACCTTAGTTTAGTTTTTGAACCTTGGTGTATTTGTTTGAATTTATCCAGTTACAAGTGTCTGCAATCAAGTATCGGGATGTAATTTCAGTTTCATCGTTGTCAATTACTTGAACATCTATTTCTCGTTCTATGCACAGCTTTCCATCTGTAGTTAAATTAGCCATGATAAAAAGTATATAATTTCATATGACATATGAAGAGTTTAAAAATAAAATAATCCACAACATCAAATACTATTAGCTTTATCGTCGCACAATGCAGTGATTAAGGATAAAGGAATTATTGTTAATGTCATTTCAAAAGTTAATGTCGATCTGTCTATGAACGAGAGACAAGTTGAAGAAAACTGAAAAACTGTCAGAAAATATAGTGACATAGAATCTATATTCTATGAATTATTCAGTCGATACTATTTATCTGTGTCTCGAAGTTTCAACTTCCACGTTAATTTTAGACCCGACCCATTGGTCAATTAATAATTTTCTAGCTCATCTGCTACAAACACTTCAAATAATGCGCGCGACGCGTGGTAATTTTTTGCCATTGCCGACCTTTTTTTAGTAGTTTTAAAGAGGAAAATACCTTTTTTGTAACTTTGTGTAACTAATTGTTAACGCAGCGTTGAGAGGAACGCGCCCGGAAAATCATCGTTCTGCATATATTGAGGGACTGCCCAGCATGGAAAGTGGAAAGAAAGCCTCTGCTAGGTGTACTCTTAAGCTGGGTATCGATTACGCGCTCCTAGCGCGCGCGCCATGAATGACCGCTCCGAGAGTGCGTTCCGTGAAACGCGTTCCAAATATTTGAAGTATATCAACTAAGCGCGCCTGGCGCGCGTGGCAACTGTTCCAGTGTTCGACCCTTCATCATGGAAGCCAGTCGTGTACGAGCAGCAGCAGCTTTTGTAATTATTAACAGTATTATAAACAAGAAAAAGCAGAAACGAATAGTACGTTGGTGGATAAAAGAGCTGTACCGAAAAAGAATGCAGTATGGAATGACACTTATAAGAGATATACAGTTCGAAGTGGTAGAAGACACAATAAAAAACTTTTGTACCATACAGTTGTATTAATTTACGGCAACTTTGGTTATCCATAATTGGGAGCGCAACAAACACAAAAAAATACGATATGTCCGTCCCAACTGGCGCGCGCGCCACGACTGATGCGTGGTAAAAAACCGACACCCGTCGGAACGGACCGCTCCGCGTTCGGGCGCTCCAACGAACACCTTGGCGCGCGTTCCAAAGTGGTATCCATTGCGCGCGGCTGGAGCGCGCGCCAATGTTCGCCCTCTTGCAGCGCGTAGTCGATACGCGGCTTTACGCTGGCCATAGACGGACCGCATTTTGCAGTCGATACCGACTGCTCTAAGCGGTCGCCGCACGGCGAACTGCAGTTTCCATACTAAATTCAAATCCGTAATACACAGACCGCACGACCGGCATTTCTGAGCGGTCGGAGCAGTCGCTCTGCGGTCGAGTTTCGCGGTGCGGTCGACTGCTTAGAGCTGCCGTACCCACCATACACGGACCGCTACAAGCGGTTGCTGCCGACCGCGCGCCTTTCCCTAAAATATAATAAAATACTAACTAATTCATCAAATGAAACCACGGACATTTTAAAGTAGTTGAAAAACTTTTTAGTGTCTTCTCTCAGCTTGGGATACAAAGTATGAAATATTCTATGCTGTTCTCTTGATTGTAGTATTGGACGCACCCACATACTACGGTGTCTTCTACGCCTTCGCCTGCGTAATAGTAGTACAAGTAGCATTGTTTCTTTATCGAATTCCAACTTGTAAATGAACTTGCATCAGTATTATTTTGCGGTCGAACACAACTGCTCCAAGCAGTCGTAGCCGACTGCATTATGTGGTCGTGTTTCAGTCGTGTACGACTTCAACGCGACCGCTCTAGAGCAGTCGGTGTCGACTGCAACATGCGGTCCGTCTATGGCCAGCGTTAAGCCTACCAAAAGTAGAACAGCGATAAAACACGGACAGGGGAAAATTTTCTACAATTTCAGCGAGGCGAAGAGGTAGAAAGGGCCAGGGAGCCCATTCGCGACGGCAACTAAAGAAACTGCAGCGTCGTCGTTTTATAACCCAACTAAAAAGTGCCCAAGCGGGGAAGCTTGCGTTTAAAAGAAAGTATGCTGATGGATCCCTACAAGCACTGGATCCGATCTTCCCAGCTCGTATTACCTAAGCGAATAACCCGGTCTTGTAATTATACTTGCTGTGTCGAGTATCACCCCAAACTACCAATTAGCGTGGTGAGGCGGATGCAGCCGTCGTACCACGTGTAGGTTCAGCTCTGCTTTTAATGCATGACCATTTTTGGTGGCACCATGGTGTTTTAGTGGGTATTCATCATAGCAATTCCCAATTAACTCACCCCTACTAAGAGGTCGCGTCTTGGAAGCGTAATCGCAATGCATTTTTACCATTTGAATCAAGCAAGTTCCGACGTTCCTTCTATTATTACACTATCTGGTCAATATATTCTTGACGCCTAATTGTATGTACAAAAAATATAAACGATTTTAAAACAAATGGTGACTTACACCAGTATAATACGCGAAATAGAACTAATTTGAGTGTACGACCAACCAGGCTCCAGAAGATAAACCACTTCTTATATGGAAATTGTATTCGTTTTTACAACAAACTCCCAAGCGAAATTTGAGCTAAATAAATTCTAAGCGTAAATAATTCTTTTTATAAATTTGACGAATACTTAAATGATCCTAATCCTTGGGATTGATTTTCTCTAGTTCAAACAATTTGTATGACTCAAAACTTAGCGATTAAAAAGAGTGGCGGAAAGTTTCTTACTAGTTCTTCTTGCCCGCTCTACGCCCTTGACTTACGAACTGGTAGTAAGGTAAGTGGGGGCAAGATGGAAAGTTGAGAACTTTCCATCTTTACCAAAAAAAAAAATACGGGGTAAGATAAAATATATACAAAAGTTTCGATCTTACTCCGTTCCCAAGTGTCATACAAAAATTCAGTTAATCTCAAACTTTAACTGGTAACAGGAAATAAATTGGCAACGTACCATTTCCACGGGATTATATGTACATTAACGAATATGCAAAGGTAAGTAAAAATTAAATAAATTAAAATACGATTTTAACTATCTTATCTATCTAAATTTTTACTTAAAATAAAAACCGGCGTTAAAAGTATTACATTAAGTCACCCTCCTGTCTTTGCTCGTGAAATTGAAATAAGATTAGCGAATGGCCTTAAAGTTCCAGGACCAGATTGGTTCACTAAATTTACGTTTACAGAATCGTCATGGACTTTCTCTATTTCGAGAGAAGGGAACCCTGTCCTCTCGAACATGGCACAGGCAAATAAAATACATTCATTTTTGAACGACCGTTAGTCCAATCCAAAAATATATCCCCTAAATTTTATGATGGGATTCGTGGAAAATTCAGATTTTTTTTTATATGTTAGGGGGGCAAACGAGCTTGCGGGACGACCAAAAAGGGCAGTCTACGCAGCCCATAGACACCCATTTTTAGTGGGTGCGTTGCCGGCATTTGAGGGAGGAGTAGGCTCGCTTTTTGAACATTTGGAAGTCGTATCTCTGAGGGAAGACCCCCCCCGGGAGCCGATTCCACAGTTCGCTAGTTCGCAAAAGAAAATGCCTTCCACAGTCCGCTTCACAGACTGTGGAAGACCTCCAACCATCAAGATGATGCTGGTGAAATTTAGAGGTCGTTCGGCTCATACGGTGTTGAAAAGAGGCAGGAGGGATCAACCCAAACAATTCTTCCGAACACTCTCCGTAATAAACGATATAAAAAACGCAAAGAGACGCAATGTCTCTGCGTAGCGAGAGAGAATCAAGCCGATCAGTAAGACATTGGAGATTGACAATTCGACAAGCCCTTCGCTGAATTTGGTCAAAAGGAAGAAGCTGGTATTTGGGAGCACCGGCCCAGAGATGCGAGCAGTATTCCATATGAGGTCGTACTTGAGCTTTGTAGAGCTGCATACGTTGCACCTCAGTGAAATACTGCTTAGCCCTACCCAAAACACCCAGCTTTTTGGAAGCCAGTTTGGCTTTTTCTTCCAGATGACTGCGAAATTGGACTTCTTTCGAAATGCCAACCTCAAGGATATTGAGGCTGTGTGACGAATTAAGGAGAGCGTCTTCAAATTGAGGAGACACGACAAAAGGATCTTTCTTGGCTGAAAACGAACAAACCGGAGTCTTTGTAGGATTAAACTTAACAAGGTTGTTACTACCCCACACAGAAACCTTGTCCAGAATCGACTCAATTTCGAGAACAAGTATGTTACGGCTCTCATCGACTTCAGATCGAGACATGTTCGGGTGGCCGGAATATAATGTGTCGATGGTGCTGTCGTCTGCATAGCAATGGATGTTGTCGATATTCAACAGGTCATTGATATGCAGAACGAACAGGGTCGGCGAAAGAACACAACCTTGCGGAACGCCTGCATTGACGGGTCTAGGATTGGAGCACGCTCCGTCAACTAGGACTTTAATGCTACGTCCTACAAGAAAACTTGCCAGCCATCGGCATAAGCCATCGGGCAAACCGTATGACGGTAGTTTCGAAAGAAGCGCCCTATGCCAAACCCTATCAAAGGCCTTAGCTATATCCAAGCTTGCGGCCAATGCCTCTCCCTTACTTTCCACAGCTTCGGCCCATCTATAAGTTAGATAGGCAAGAAGATCACCAGCCGAGCGGCCACGGCGAAAGCCATACTGACGATCACTAATTAGCTGGTGCTCCTCCAGATATCGCAAGAGCTGCCTATTGATGATAGACTCCATTACCTTTGAAAATAAAGAAGTGATTGCGATAGGTCTGTAGCTGGATGGTTCAGAGCGGTCACCTTTTTTGGGAATGGGATGAACATGCGCAGTCTTCCATGAGCTTGGAACTACGCCCGAGGAGTACGAGAGTCGAAAGAGCCGTGTAAGCACCGGAGTCAGCTCAGAAGCACAAGTCTTAAGAACGATCGAGGGAAGGCCGTCAGGACCACTTGACTTGTGGGTATCAAGGGAGATTAAGGCCCTCCGCACACCAATCTGTTCGAATTGAACTTCAGGCATAGAAAACCCGCAATGCGGAATATTAGGCGGTAAGGTCCCTGAGTCATTGAGTGTGGAGTTAGATGCAAAGAGAGAGCAAAGGAGCTCTGCTTTCTCTTTCGCCGAGTGAGCCATCGAGTCATCCTCCTTTCGCAAGGATGGTAAAGAGGGCTGACAAAAGTTTCCCTGAGTTGCCTTCGCCAATGACCAAAAGGCTCGAGTTCCAGAGGGCAATTTCGCGAGCTTTTCACCAATTCTGCCAATATGTTCCGATTTTGCTTTAAAAATTTCTCGTTTAAGGGTACGGGTAGCCGCGTTAAATTTCTTTTTATGGAGAGTTACATCGGGATCCTTTATGGCCATTGCGTGAGCCCAGATTTTATAGTACTCTAGCTTAAGACGGGAAGCCTCTTTGCAAGAGTGGCCAAACCATGGCCGAGATTTACCACGAATAGGAACCATAGAGTAAGGGATATAGAGTTCCATTGCTTGTAGCACCACATCGGCGACAGATTCAGCGCTGGCGTCAGGATCACTACCCTTGAAGCAGACTTGCAACCATGGGTATGGTGCAAAGAAATGACGCATGTCATCCCAATTGGCCGATTTGTAATGCCAGACACGACGGCATTCCGAAAACTGCGGGCGGGTTCGACGCCTAATTGGCACAACGGTTCGCACCAAGCAGTGGTCGGAGGACCCAAGTGGGGCATCCACAGTAACCTCATAGAAGTCTGGGTGAGAAGTCAGCATAAGATCTAATAACGAAGGCTGATGGTCAGCTCGGTCTGGTATTCGCGTAGGCGTTGTGACCAGTTGAGTTAAAGCATATGCAAGAGCGAAATCATGGAAGCCTCTTCCCGAATAATCGGTCGTACGAGAATTCAACCACTCAGAATGATGGGCATTGAAATCACCCAGTATAACGACTTCAGCAGGCGATAGAGACAGAAGGGAATCGAGTGCAGTTTGGACATGTTCTATAAGTCGATCGACCTCGGTGTTGCCGCTGTGTGACCTGTAAAGGCAGCAGTATATGCGGGGATGGTCAGCACATTCTACGCGTACCCACAAGGTAGAAAGATCGGATTCTTCCAAATGTAAGAGGCGACGGAAATTTATATCCTCACGAATGTAAACGCATACACCGGCTTGTGGCCTAAAATTATGCTCAAGACAACAGCCTGATGGCAAAAGTTTGAGAACGTCTATTATAAAAAACAAACAATTTGCTGTATCTTAGATAAATAAAGGTATTTTTGCACTAGTCGGATGCGAGTATTAAAGTCACTAAAAGCTATGTGCTTAAAACCGTTGAGGACATCTCACATTCATTTTAACGATTTTAGAAAAATTTTCAATCTTTCCTCGTCACGTTTTCATCTTTACCCTATTTTGTAGTCGTATCTTTATTTTTTTATTTACTTATTTTGCTTTGGAACAGATTTAACAATCTGTTATTGATATGATAGAAAAGTATAGTTTTTGCTCGTTACTAATCAAAGCCATTAATTAGCATAGGTTAATATATATTGTCCTGCAAGAGGTTCAAACACAACTTTGCTCATCTCATCAAAAAACCGTTCAACCTTCCCCCCACTCATCTTAAATGTAAATTTATAATAATTAATTTAACTTTTTATTTTTTGACAAGCGTAAGCTTTCATAAGCGTACTAGTTTACCTATATGAATAAAGATATTTTGAGTTTGTGTTTGATGCTGCGGTATAAAAACTACATAATAATAAAAATAATGCAACTGTCCTTGATGCTAATGTAAAAGATAAGCATTTACTTTAATATTTAATTGACTGTATATAAACTAGTGGGTAAATGTTAAAAAAATAAACGTAATATTATTAGTTAATAGTTAGTTTATCTTGAAACACAGATCAAGACATCCAAATCTGTATACATGTATTTATTTATTTTGCTTGTTTTGTATTGTAGCTCTAATACTTAATTCATTCCGATCTTTGCACAACAACAAGTTTCTTTAGTTCCATCTTTTATTAGTTCTTGACTGCAACAAAAAAATATGATACTACTATAATAATTATATATTAAGGTAAGAAATATGGAGAAAACAAAAACAAATTTAAAAAGTGTGGTTCCTGTAGCAGTGTACCTTAAATGCTGGCAGCATTTCCTCGCTGTATTACGATACCTATTCGTTGAACGAGGAAAGCTCAAAGCACTAGCTTTGGGGTGCCCGTACTACCAGGCGCCAACTTTATTCTTTATTAGCGCCTGTGCCCTTGAACCCCACGGACCAAAAGTGTCTTCTCCAAAGGGAACAAAATCATAATTGTATAAAAATCTTATATTTAAGGTGTTCGTTATTTACGCCTGCTCTGCGGCGGCGCCAGCTTTTACGCTTGATCGATTTTTCTAGACGGAGCTAAAATGCCCTCATTATCAAAGTAGCATCCCATACCAAAGCCCGACCCAACCTACATGGAATCAAAGACATCCTGCCGCTTACCATCGTCTCTAGCGATGGCGCCATAATGGCTGGAACATTGACGGAGGCAAGAGAACGGCGAGGCGAAAAAAGCGACCTGCACTGTTGGCAATTGAGGCCATGGTGCCCAAGACTTACTTCAATGCTACAGGGACAAATATGTAATATATATGGGCACACCTAAGCAAAGGGTGATGGCAACGCGAAGTGAGTCGGTGTCCAAAAGGGTACTAGTGTAAGGCAAACTCAAGACTGCTTCGGATGCTAACCACGCATTTCTCGCTTCTGTTAAATCTAAAGAAAAAGGGGTATATGGAGCACTGGGATATTTTGACAAAATGGTTGCAAGTGTATCTGGGGTGTCAGGAGCCAAAACATCATTTGAGAGAAGAAGTCTTGTGGCCGCTAGATCCCCATTGTTGATTTTTCTGTTCTGCTATTTTCGTTAAGCATTTTGGTCTTTTTAGAAATGTTTTATTAGCCAGAATTTAAATTATTAACAATTAAAGATATAAAACAGTAAATAATTGTCCTTAAATTTTATTTCTAAATGGGTAGGTAGGTTTAGTACCCTTCATCACTGATGGTAATGGTATACTCAGGAAAAGCTGCTTTGATTAGTTTTGCAGTGATCTCATGATCAGCTTTTCCGTAACCTTGTGAGTAACCATAAATATGAATTTTCTTATTTTCTGGGTCATGTGAAATTCTTCCTCCTCCTAGAGGCTCACAATCAAGAGGAGAGAGCTTTGCCTGAACCTGTAAAAGAAGTATAGTAGTATGTTCAATGTTATAATAAAAATATATTAAATAGAGTAAAAAATTTACCTCATCATAAATATCTGAATGATAATTACATCTCTTATAACCTCTGGCTATAGTCATTTTCGGCTCTTGACCACTTTTCACCTCTTCATAGACATTAATTAGTATGTATTTAAAAACGCCGCTTGGATCGATATCCACGAGAGGAACGCTACTTAATGACGACATGTTTTTATTTAATTTATAGTCTGAAAAAAAGTTAATTATTACACAATTCTATATTGGACTAGATTTAAGATTATTAGGTATAAAGTTTTTATTTACTGTGATAAATTAAAAGTCTTTTAAAGGAATTTTGACACAACGTAGATAATATTCTGGGTATCTGTTGCACTATAACCATTTGTTGCCTTTATATTTCTACAAAAATTGATTTGTAATTGTAGCGTTTTTATTGAAAAATTTTGATTTGGACAGATTTGTATTTCATTTGAGTTTGGTAAGCGGAGCCGCGGATTGTCAGAAATCTGTCTGAAAAATGAAAGAATCTGTGTTTTACATTGGTAATTGACAAGTGGTTTTTTTTAAAGACATCTTTATAATCTGTGGTAAATAAAATAAATAATAATAATATTTGTTTTCTGTGGTTGACACTTGACATTTTTAACGATAAAATTAAAGTCTTCAATTCCATATTGGGCTTTTGAGTTTTGTGTGTTTATTAATTATTAGGTCATAGTGGTTGCTTGCACTTACAAGCTTAAAATTTAAACTATGCTGTGTACATACAGTAATATAATTTAATATTCTCCAGCTATTAAGTATAAGATAAATACATAACTGTAAATTGAGTGAAGGACGAAGTTGGCTAAGTCTTGAGATATGAATTCTGGCACGAAGAAAATGGATTTAAATCCCACAGGTATGTTTAGCGTCCGGATTAAGCCGGACATAATTTACTCTTTTTACATTACAATAGGTCAGCAATGGTCAAAAGAATGTTGGTTGCAGAGTTTAATTTAAAACATTTGATATGTAAGGATTTTATAACTGCATTTTGAAAGAAACTGAGCTTTTAAAGCCAACTAAAAATATCATGAAACATCACGTTTGTCGGGTCCGCTAGTATTCTATAAGAATTTAACAATATTGATGGTAATTATAAAAAAGCTTGATACACAGACTGTACCAATTAATACTGATTAACGAAATCGTCAATCATGTTAGATTTGGCCTTTTAACTCAGATGTCAAGTCAAACTGGCTGGTTTGTCCAGATATTGAGTTTGAGACCTGGTAACACTTGGTACTTCAAAATCATAACCCATTACCAAACAAATCTAATCTCATTTAAAAAATAAGCTTAATTTGTAAATTTTGTTAGCCTTATTAGCCACACCTTATGAATTTTGGGTGTATGTGTGTGGGTTTCAGCTTAATTTAAAAACAATTGTTTACGTTTTCAGGTATGTGGGTGACCTTTTTTACAGCTGCAGGTATTCCATCTGAGGTTGCAGCAACATACGCCCTAACATTTACTGAAAACAGAATTCAGAATGATATGTTGTTAGATTTAAACAAAGAGTACCTCAGGGACATGGGGATAGTAAGAATGGGAGATATTATTGCCATATTGAGGTAAACTGATCATTCTTTTTAATCTATAATCATTCATAATAAGAAATTTACACGAAAACCTACAATGTTTAGGAGAAAATTAGTTAAATAACTATTCTTTAATTCTTTAGAAATATGAAGATTGAATCAATCAGTAATTTTTAAAGTTTTTTCAATTTATGAGAAGAAGAGTCCTCAAATCTTTATTAGAAACAAAAATGTTGAACAGTATTTCTTAAATTTTATAATTTATAGAAAAATAAATTAGTATCAAAAATATAATTTCTCTATTTAAAATTCGAAGAGGGTAGACCGTGAAACAACTCGTATCGTGTCCCAATTTCTTTGTATTTTAAAATCATACAAGTACTAATATCGTTCCAAAAGAACAAAAAGTGGTGTAATATTACAAGATAAAAAAGTGTAAATGTTATTCCGCCCAGAAACATTGTAAAAGCATTAGTATTTCCCAAAATCACAACGCTTTAACCGAGTGACGTTTGTAGGTAATTTGTGTTGAAAAAAATACCCTAAAGTGCATGAATTGTGCAGTGCTCAACATATCAACAAAGAACAACACTAAAGTGAAATAGTGCGAAGTAAACTAATTTGTGCAAGAAGTAACGGTACACGTGTCTTGGTATAACTCTGACTCATTTAGTTTCGGTGACGCATGTAACCTGAACAACATTTTCAACCAAATACAGTACAGACGTTTGGTCAATCGGTTAAGTTCCGCCATATCACTCATAGGAAACGAGTTCAAACCTCAGTAGAGAACAATATTATTAGATTTTTTAAAAATTTATAAAAACTAAATCAATATTCAATTTATCATTTTAAATAACATAATCACATAGGGACACGTACTTCATAATAAAAACATTTGTCAATAGAGGGCAGTGTCCGCAAGATTGTTTTCGTAAATGCGAAAATAAGCATACCAGAGTGCAAAATAAATATAACATAAAAAAAAAAAAAAAAAAAATTTCAACCGGTGATACCAACTACCAACCAGTGCTGCTAACTAGTGTTGCCAACTAAAAATCGATTTCACACACACGTACTACGCTAACTCACAGCCATGGAGAAACAGCTGGCACGTCTACTAGAAAAAATAATGGAAATTGACGAGAAGCTGAATAAAAACAAAAAGGATACTAGGGACGAATTTCGTGAGCAAACAACTGCCCTCACCAAAAGCCTTACCCAAAGTATGGCGTCGACGATAGAAGAAAAACTGAAACCGTTGGTAGAAGAGAATAAAATACTTCAAAACGACGTGGCAATTATGAAGAATAAGGTGCAAAATCTGGAGAGAGAAGTCAGAAAAAATAATTTAATACTCCACGGAGTAGAGGAAAACGAAAGCAATAATGCAGAACTCCTACAACTGGTCCTGAAGGTCCTTAATGAGGTGGGTAAAGATTGCGAGTTGGACAACTTTGATAAATGGGAAATAAGTGAAGCTCGTAGACTTGGCCCTAAAGTCGACCAGAAACGCAGGCCTATTCTCATAAAGTTTACTCTAGCATGGAGAAAAATAGAAATCTTAAAAAACAACAAAAGATTCCCTGCAAACATATACGTGTCTGAAGACTACCCCAAAGAAGTACTGCAGAAAAGAAAAGAATTAAAGTCCCTACAACAAGAAGAAAGAAAGAAAGGAAATCTGGCCCTCATCCGATATGACCGACTCATAATAAAGGAAACAAACTCAACCAAGGCAATTGAGAAAAGGAAGCGCTCACCATCTAAAACACCAACGCAATCTGACTGCCATGAAGGTACAAGGCAGACGGTGCCAAAGAAAATGATTGTCACCAATGCATTTGAAAAAATGACACGCCACAGAACAAATTCTATTTCTGAAACATCTAACCAATAACAATTAGTACACAGCGGTCCCCGGAATCAAAACAAAAATAAAACCAAAGAACAAATACAAACAACCAACAAAAAATACCTTTCCCCAAGCCGGACAGCGGTCTCCGTGGGGAAACACGACCGCAACCCTCCAGCTAACCCTCGATCTCTAAAACTCACATTGAAACAAACGAACCAGCCAAAACCTAACCTACCAAATCCAAACCCACCAAAACCCAACCTACCAAAGTCTAATGAGCCAAAGCAACGAAGTCAAATAAACACCAATATTTATATCGGCACGCTCAACGTACTAACACTAAGAACATGCGATCGACTTATGGAACTGGAAGAGGCGCTCAAGAACATTAAATGGAACATTCTAGGCCTTAGCGAAGTCAGAAGACTAGGAACAGAAATCACTGAACATGACGACTACATTCTATATTCTATTGGAGAGACAAAAGGACACTACGGAGTAGGCTTCATGGTCAGAAAGGAACTCAAGAACAGCATACTAGAATTCACAGGCATCTCAGAAAGAATAGCAATCCTAAAAATAAAGATAACAGGCTACAGAGAACACTGGACCTTGATACAAGTGTATGCACCAACAGAACAAGCAGAAGAAGCCACAAAAGACTCATTCTATCATCAACTATCCAAAACAATAGATGTAACAGAAAAAAACTTAATAATTATGGGAGACTTTAATGGGAAAATTGGCAAGCAAAGATCAGGAGAAGAAAATATCATCGGCGAATACACCATAGGAAAGAGAAATAATAACGGAGAACGACTAGTAAATCTGAGTCACGAAAACAACCTGGCAATCCTCAACACATTCTTTAAGAAAAAACCTAGCAAAAAATGGACCTGGAAGTCACCAGACGGTAGCTACCATAACGAAATCGATTTCATAACAAGCAATCAACCCAAAGCTTTCAAAGACGTAAAGGTAATCAACCAGTTCAACTTCTACACCAACCACAGAATGGTCAGAGCAACCTTACACTCCAAAAACCAGGTTAAATCTAGGCAACGCTACAAACAAGTGCTACCTTCTGAGGAATACACCCTTACTACCAAATTAGACGCAAACCATCTGCTAGAATCGCCGAACGCAATGCAGGAAAGATACAATAAAGAAATAAACAGAATGTATCAAGCTAAAAAACCAAAACAACAGACGAAGGAAATATTAAGCACACAGACCAAACAACTAATTTCGGAAAGAAAAGAATTATTCAAGAACAAAAAGGATAAAGATATATTAAAAGAAATAACAAGGATCAGCAAAGAAATTAACAAGAGTATAAAAAAGGATAAAGCAAAAAAAACAATGGACTGCATAATAAATCATATTACTAAAACAGGAGGAATAAGGAAAGCCCTAAAAGAACTACAACCACCTAAACAATGGATACCAAGACTCAAAAAACAGGACAAAAACTTAGTTACAAATAGAAAAACAATACTAGATACTGCAACATCCTTCTTTAAAGAACTGTACTCATGTAACAACAATTCCGAAACATATGCCAACCCTGACCCAGAACACGAAGAACCTATCCCACCTGTTTTAGAAAGGGAAGTCGAATATGCAATCCTGACACAGAAAAATGAAAAATCCCCTGGCCCCGACAACATAACAAATGAGACAATCAAAATTGCACTTCCGGACACACTAACAACATTAACAAATCTATTCAATGAAATATTGGATACTGAATACATACCTACACAATGGACACAAAGCACAATAATCCTAATCCACAAGAAAGGAGACAAAGAAGACCTTAGCAACTATCGTCCTATCAGTCTTGTCCAACGTGTATAAAGTCTTTGCAAAAATCATTCTCAACCGCATCACCAAACAACTTGACGAACAACAACCTATCGAGCAAGCCGGATTTCGGTCTGGATTCTCCACAATACACCACATGCACACCTTGAAGCAAATTGTCGAAAAGTGCCAGGAATATGGATATCCCCTGTATCTGGCTTTTGTCGACTACAGCAAAGCTTTCGATTCTTTGGAGCACCCATGCATTTGGAGAGCGCTAAAAAACCAAGGCATTGAAGGGAAATACATTAAACTCATCGGAAATGTCTACAGCCAGTGCTCGGCCAGGGTGAAGCTGGAGATGCTGGGAGAATCATTTCCACTCAAAAAAGGAGTCAGACAGGGAGACCCTCTTTCGTCTAAGCTCTTTACTAGTGTGTTGGAAGAAGTCTTCAGAAACCTACACTGGGAAGATTGCGGTATCAACATAGATGGAGAAAGGATCAACCATTTGAGATTTGCAGATGACATTGTGCTCATAACTGACAACCCGAGAACACTACAAACTATGATCGAAGAACTGGCAACCAAAAGCAAAGAAGTGGGTTTAACAATGAACAAATTAAAAACAAAAGCCATGACAAACAGAACACCAGATACTATTATCCTAGAGAACGAAAACCTAGAATATGTGACAACCTACATATACTTGGGACAACTCATCTCCATGACAGAACAAGCCCATCAGGAAATAGAGAGAAGAACCTCAAATGCCTGGAAAAGATTCTGGTCATTAAAACACATCCTAAAGAATAAAGAGTACCCACTTAGGATCAAAAGGAGCATCTTCAACACCTGTATCTTACCTATCCTAACGTACGGCTGCGAAACTTGGACCACTAAGCAAGTCACAAGTCAAAAGCTTGTGACTTGCCAGAGAAGTATGGAAAGGAGCATACTAGGTTACACACGGAATGATAGGAAAAGAGCTGTAGATCTCCGAAGGATCACCAACTGGGAAGATGCAATGACCAGAGCCAAAAGGCTTAAATGGAGATGGACAGGACACCTGCTCAGAGGCCAGAGAGCAAAATGGTCGAAAAAAGTCACCCAATGGACACCTCGCTACAACACCAAGCGAAAGAGAGGAAGACCATGTGCCCGGTGGGCTGACGACTTTAAAAAAGCCACTGGTCCTCTGTGGCAAAGACTTGCCAGAGATAGGAAGGAATGGAAACAGTTGGAGGAGGCCTTTGTGCCACAAAGGCAAGCTATACAAGAGGACAGCTGTGCTTGTTAAACTTTTTTCTTTTTTTATATACATTTATATTTTGTTCTCTTGTATTAGTTGAAATAAAGGCTTTGAAATTGAAATTGAAATTTAAAATGGTTTTCAGTAAGGAATAGGTAATAAATTTACAGAATGAAATTTCAGGCATGCCAAGCAAGTACATGAAAATACAGCTAGAGATAAAGTACTAAGCACAACAATTGTCGCAAACAAAGTCCCCGTAGCTGCTATTGCAGGCCGGTCTACTGTATCACAACCATCATCACGTGAGTTGTATTTTTATTTAGCAATTTATTTGTAACAATAGATCAAACTTAAGTTCTTGTTCTGTTTTCAATCTGTTTTCTGTTTCTGTTTTCAATCATCATGTAATGCATAGTTAATTAGAGCAACAGGTGGCTTACCTATTGCTCTAATTAACTATTTAGTCTGTTTACAGAACAATTGGTTCAGGTTGGAAGGTCCCCTTGTCATTACTTCATTGAATTCTAGAAAAAGGCATATATAGCAATCTATTTGAATTTTTTTATTGGTAATTGTTTTTAAATTTATTGTTGATTGTCCCTTGAATTTTTGTTATATTTATTATGTAAGTAAATAGTGTAAAAGTGAGCAGTGTTTGCCTTTTGATTGAAAGGTTGAAAGGAAAAAGAGGTTGGCTCCACCACTGATTTATTTTATGCAAGTAAATAAATAAAATGTAAATTGATTCTCAGCCTTGTTTACCAAGTAATTATATATATTTCAGCCGCAACCCGAATACTGGAGCACTATACACGTAATCGAGACCCTTCACCCGTTGCAGTGCAAAACAAAAGAAAATCAGATGAGTTTGCGTAAGTATTTTTTTATTTATAAAAAAGTATTTGGATATACATTTTTGGAATGCTGAAGTTGTTGTTTGAAAAACCAGTTTTTTTACTATATGCTTTTTTGTTTAATTTTCAGACCCGAAGAATCGGCCGTAAGCAATAAAAAAGCTAGGCTTATAAGGTTTGCTAACCCTCCTAAAGCAATAGCTACATTGCCTGTTAAACTATGTAAGTTTAATTTATTAATTTATTTATTTCTTACAAAAAAAAATATATTTAAAATTCTTCCTTAGGTCAAATTTTATCATATCTGTAAGATGCTTCACAGCCCAATTAATTTATGATAACAAAAACGTTGTGGATAATAAATCATTAATTTTCTAATGGCCTGGGCTAGATTTTCAACAAATAATTAATTCCTTCAGGCTCATGTGATGACAACTTAATAGAATTGGGGCCCTACAAGACTTGGTCTTGCCAAAAGATCTATATCTTGATAATTTTTTTAATATTCTTCATTTATTTGGGTTGAAGGTGGTGTGGTCGCTTACTATGTTATCCTGTATGATAGAGACAGTTTCGTGTAAATAAATTAATGGGTACGAACGTACGATCACATGGTTGAGTGTAGTATGTGTAGCGTATTAATAAACTACATTATTGATTTATAAAATTTCAATAAACTAATTGAAATTATATTAAGTTTTTATAAAAAGTGGTATCCATTTTCATAGAAACAGAATTAGTTTAATAACACTGCTTTCAAATCTTTTCCGAGAAAGCTGACATATAAATATTATTTAAATAAAATAAATGTATGTTTTTAATTTTTAGCATCTCAAAGTAAAACAGTGTTTGCTCGACTCGGTTCATCAGATCCTAAACTCGAACAAACACAAAAGGAAACAAAAAAAGTGTTTGCTCGTCTCGGATCCAAAAACGCAGTTACTGAACCAATACCAAAAGATGCATTAAAATATGAAGGAATATTAAAAAGCCAACCAGTAGCAAAGCGTTCGTTTACAGTCACAACAAACAAGAACAATACAAGAACTTGTGTGGGAACAATGAGGGCAGATGAGACACCCGTCAGTGCTAAGGAAAAATTGACTTTGTCCAGAGCTAAGTTGGTTAAATTCTCAAACCGTGTAGAATATAAAGAAATAGAAGATGTGCAAAAAGTTCCGGTCAAATTCACTTCAGTTTTTAATAAACCGGAGAGACGGTTGTCTATGCCCGTCACAAATACTGTCAAGGCCAGACTCGGTGTTAAAAAGGATAAGATTACAAATAGTTTGTTTAATAGGTTAGGTGCTGGATTTAATTAAAGTGCTCAATTCAGATATTTTTTGTCTTACCCAAAATCAGAATAATATAATGTTTTCTTTAATATGCCGCAATAAATTCGTTTCTATGAAAGAAAGTGTATAAACACGGATTTCTTTCTTATAATTTATGTGAAGCATTTAATATTTATTTTTATACTATTTCACATTACTTCACTTAAATTATTTGAAACTCAAAAGCAGTCATTAAAAAAAGTTAAATTATTACACAATGTACAATGAATGTACTGTTTTTTTTTTTTTTTTTTTTGTACTGTTGAAAATACTTTTTATGGTGATAAATTGTGGAATTCATTTGCTTGATGTTTTATTAGCACAAATATTTTTTCTAATCTTGCTTGGTTTCTTGTATATTAAAATTGGGTATTTTTCATTGCTTTGAGTATAACAATTTTCTGTGTAAACCATGTTTTGCCGTACTATAAATTTTGTATGTATCATATGTTCACAAAATCGTTGAAGTTATATAATTTGACCTGATTGTTAAATAATAACAAAAGATCTTAAGTACTACTTTTATGTTTTTTCTAATTTAAATAACTTATGTTTTGTTTACTGGTAACTTTTCGTCCTTTAAATCGCCTTCTGGTCCTAAAACAAGTTATTCAGTGAAATATTATGTACATAAATAGACTATGTCTGATTTCTGTATCAAAATATCTGAAAAAATTGTTACGTGTTGTTCATTTTCGACAAGAGTATTGGACGCCTCGTAAATATTAGCAAGAGGTCACTCTAGTTTATTTAATTTTGACAGCAACTTAAATATAGGAATAAATGCCATTGCAAAGTAATTTTGAATTAAATGGTGCATAAATGCTTTTATTTTAAGTTATATTATGTAATTAAGTTAATATTGACCCGATAAATTAAAAGTACATCGCTTGATTACAATGATATAACATTTTGACCTCAGCGTATATATAATTTATCAGAAAGGGACGAAAAAGTACTTTATATCTGAAACATTGTGGTTGGGTCTAAGTGTATGTATGATAATAACAAGGAAATACATATGTACCTTGTTAAAACTATACTAAGGGTCAACTAATAGTTATTACAACGTTTTGATTGCTAATAACCTAGATAAGAATTTTGTTTTAAATTAAAAATATGACAAAAATAGTCAATACATGTAAAGTGTGCCTCGAATTGTCTTCTTATTTTATATATTTATGTTTTTCTCATTTATATGTAAATAGTTTGTTTAATAAAGTGCTATAAACTAAAATTTTACTTTGTTTTACTCCAATACAATACATCCAATACTTTTTTTTTTATACTACAAGTCAGTGGGCATTCACAGTATCTGAAGACTCCTTGACGCGTTGCCGACCGAGCAAGAGAAAGCTCTTATTTTAAAATTTATGTACATTACATCTTCTTGAGTAGACCCATATTATACCCTCTATGGGAATAATTTTGGGTGGAATCCAAATACTAAGCTCTAGCTTATCAATAAAGGTACCCACGTTTACATACATATTATGACGCTTTAATATGGGTTTTAACCTCCTCCACAATCAACCATTTCTGGTGTGTATCCTTAGCGACCCTCCTTCACCTTGTAACTAATCAACTTTGAGCTACTAAAATGTATATAATCAGTGGCGCTACAACCTCTTTTAGGTCTGGATTTCTCTCTGGGTCTCAGATTTCTGAATCTGTTTTATGATCATTTTTTCAATCTAATAGGCAAGTAGGTGATCAGCCTCCAGTGCCTGACACACGCCGTCGACTTTTTGGGGCTTAGACATGTCGGTTTCCTCACGATGTTTTCCTTCATCGTTCGAGCGAATGCGCACATAGAAAGAAAGTCCATTGATGCACAGCCGGGGATCAAACCTACGACCTCAGGGATGAGAGTTGCACGCTGAAGCCAGTAGGCAACACTGCTCGCTATATAATAAGCTATATATAAAAATATTTTAATGAAGTAGAATGTAGGCTAATAAATTTTAACAAGAACCTTGATTTATTAGACCTGCATCCTTTGATATGCAATGAAGGAAAGTGTGACACTGAAATACGATACATGTACTTTCTTACAGTGGCTTTGCTCACTTGGTCATGGTCACCGCGCACTAGGGATGGCGGTTTAGCGAAAGTTCTATGATTAATTACAAGAATGTTTAATCATTATTAAAATAGTGAACCTGAAAAGTAAAGAAATGTTGGATCGCAGCAAATTATTCGGCTTTAAAAGATTTTGGGATGGTGGGGGTTCACGCATGTAGTTTTTTCCGAGAAAAGGCAAAAATCGATGAAGAAATTCCATTTTATATGCCGAGGACGATACTTTTCCTATCTGTATTTTTTTTAAATATTGACCGTTCATAAGACCAATTGCTTAAAAAATTTATTTGATTCCAAAACTGTAAAGACCGTTTTTTAAAACGAGGCTCATAAATCATTTTAAGAGCCTCTGTCCCTTCTATATTATCTTCAAATGCTGTAGCTACAGACTAAGATAAAACGATCATCAAGAGCTAAGAAGTGCAATATTACACCACTTGCAAACTATCTTTCAACATAAGCTAAGACCTGCCACCTGAAACCGGCCTTCATGGCGATTTTATTACTTTAAATTAAAAAAACACCTTTGCATTATAATTATTTATTTCATACAAATGCAATTTTTTAGTATCAACTCTTATTAATTTTATACAAGTCAGTCTACGAGTTAATTATAAACCAATTGTCAGTTCATTCTACGATTGTATTGAATAAAATCGTTCATGTAATATTCTAATTGATAAGTTCACTGTAAATGGCGGGTTTCTCGTCGTGCGGAAAAAGTGGTCCAGAGTTGACATCAATATAAGATCGAGGCATTGACGCGTTGACGCAGTGCCTCTCTCAGTCTTGTGGACTTAGGGTCTCCCACAATGGGGACAAAGGTAAATAAATTTATCAATAAAAATGTTATTATCAAATTCAAACGTTAAGGACTTTACTTAAATCCCTGTATAGTCTTTGGGGTTTGAATAGTGCTTAATATTATTTCTTAGAAATTTACAGTATTTTTATTGTTTTTCAGGTAGTTATAGTTCTGTCGTTACTGGGAATCGCTGAACATTATGTAAAGTCTGAGAATATTGTGACGAAAACAGTAGCGGACAATGTTAGTGCGGAAAGTGTATCCCGACTTTACCGAAACGGTCCTGTGGGTGTTTACGCCGGTGCTGCTCCCTATGCCGCGTATTCTTTTCACGTGCCCTCAGTGATAGCACCGAATAATATCCCAGTTAAGGAAGAAACTATTCTCGTACAGAATACAAATGGTTTTTTGAAAGATTCCTATGGAAACAAATATTTACAGACACCGCAAGCTCTGGCGTATAGAACAACGTTTCCAAGGCAATACGTGCAATTGCAAAATTTGCCAGCCCATTTAAGCCAGCCACTGGTATCACCCAGCAGTCAGTTTAAGCAGCTGACACCACATTTCTTCTCAACATCTCAGTATAATTTGCAAGGTGTACAGTCGTTGCCACAAACAACCCTTAGTCGATACACTGTACAACAACAACCGTTTGCTTATGGTAACATACAAACGTTGGCTCCCAATTCGATACTATATACTCAGTATCAGCACCAAGCTGCTCAACCGCAGTCAACTGGTAACAAAAATGTATACGCTAATGCACCTGCCTCGGAAAATTCAAACAATATTCAGATTGATCCCAAATTTCAACGCTTACAGCAAGGAGGCCAGGGGAATTTTCACAACATAGATACAAATCCATCTTTTCAACACACGGCACAAACTGATAATTTGCAAAAACTGCAACAGGCACCAAAGCAAACAACTATTACAACATTGTCTAATGGCCAAAAGATATCCGTAAATTTGGTAACAAAACCACCTCTTCCTCTATTGAACTTAAATCTTTTACAACCTCTAACATTTGCAAATCCTGTGGTACCTCAAGTGCAGCACTACTTACCTAGATTAAATGAAGAAACGTTTGACAAGATTCCAAACAAAAATGTAGACGAAATCCAAACCCATCAGATGGAATTTGTTGTACAGAATACGAAATCTTATGACAGTGAAGATAAACCCAAGAATAATATAAATAAAGCGACTCAGGGTGATGAGTCTGCTGAAGATAACGAAAGCTTAAATCCAACTCACTCTGCAGAGAATGAGGGTCCCGAATTTACTTACGAAATTAAATCCCCGAATTACAAGGAAACGTATTCGAAACAAAACATTAATTACAATAAAGAAACTGAGTCGGAGCCTGAAACTTACAACTATGAAACTAAATTAGAAGGTAAGCCAATACATTATAGTTATGAAAAAAATACTAACAAGAAGCCAATTGTTGTTAGTTATGAACGTCATATAGAAAAGGTCCCAGTTCATCATTCTTATGAGGAACATACAGAAAAGAAGCCTATTCACTATACTTATTTTAGAACTGTCAAGGAACCCATTCATTATACTACTAAAAATACTCAAACTCCAAAACATTTAGTGTATACTATCAAACCAGAGGAACAAGACCGCTTTGAACAAACCAAAGGATCTCACCATCAAACTAGGGAAAACTCCGAAGTTAACTCTGAGGAGTCTGATGAAAATAGGAAGATTCAAGACTATGAAGATAGGAACAAGGAGAAAAATCATGGCCATCATGTACGTTATGTAGAATCTACTAAAGATACCCACCAATTTAAACCAGAAGACAATAATGTCCAGTATTACCATACTAAAAATCAACAAGATCCCAATATTGTAAAACACTACCACGTACCACAGTTATTTATTAATCACGTTCATAAAAATGTCGCTCCAAAGCAACGTGAACAGGAACACTTTCAACCAGTAGTTCCTGAATATGAAGGAAACACAAAACATTTTCATACAGGCAATGAACAAATAAGGGTAGATCCTAATCAACATATTCAAACGCCAAGAAATTCTCCTCCACCTCAAAACCACCCAGTGACTTACGAATATACACGATCCCACCTTTCTGCAGCGCCAATCGTGAAAGGAAATCCTAAACAAGTACAAAATGAACCAGCTGAGGAAGAAAAGGAACCAGAAGATACATATAAAGCACAAGAAAATAGCGAAGAAAATTTCGAAAAGAGTTATAAAGACGCTGCCTTTGGGTTTGCTGCATATGATTCCCCACGAGATGATTCTGAAAGAGACATCTATAAACCAGAATCGTATGGTGCACCCCGCTATTACTCTGAGTACAATATAGAGAAGAGCCCATTTAAACAATACGAAGGTGAAGGGGATGATTTCCCGAAATCTACAAGATCAAATTACAAGGATGAGAGGGACAAAATGCATGAAGATTATTTTTTAGATTACGCAGTTAGTAAACCGACAAGCCTTCGAGATAGTTTCAGAAATAAAGAGAGTTACTTTAAAATGTTTAAAAAGAATAAACCCGAAAGTTACTATCATAACGAAGATGACGACAAAAAGCAGTACGCGAAATACACTGTTCCGACTTTTGAATTTTATGTGCCGAAACAAAAGCAACACGGCTCAAACCAGAAATCGACTTCTCATGTATATGAACACAATTATTCGAGTGAGGAGCCCCGAGATGCATCTGCTTATGCATCCCGACCTCTACATAGGTATAAGAGTAAAACACAATTTGTAGAACCACAGTTTCAGTATGGCTTTGAACCCATATCACTACCGCAACTGTTAGACAGCGAGTTAGCAGCAATGGCTTCTAATAATAATCCTAAAAGCGAGAAACAAGGAACGCGGAAAAAGATTTACAAAGAAAATTTATACATTAAAAAAACTAGCACGAAAGGTGGAAAGAAAACAAGTCGATAAATATAAGAATAATTATTGTATTAGACCAAAACCAATGTTAGTTAAGTTTTTGTTAAGTAGGTTTAAGCATTATATTTCTGACTGTTATTAAAATAATATAAAATATTGTTTTTTTGTTCATAAAATGGCATCACTTTTTATTCAGTACTTGTGCAACAAAACTTTCGCTATCAATACGTTACGTGACGAACTTTTTTGTCTCTGGGAAACAGATTCAAATAAAAACATCGTTAACAAAGTCACTGACCGTAGCAAGTGGCTCTGCACTGAACAATTGTGACACCTGTGCAAATCTTAGGAAACGTCTCTTGAATTGTTACTTAATATTTAAAAAATTGTGACAAAATCCTTCTGAAGTTTGAAAGCAAAACTTATAATTTATGTTTCTGTGATTAAGAGTTGCCAAACAAAGAGAACTAATGTCACTTTAATATAAAATACATAAGGGGGCACTAATTAAGACACATTGATAACAAAAGCATCTAATTGATATTCGTAGAGTAACTTTCAATTAACCTAAATTTTTTCTCTTCAATACCGAACTGTAAAAAGGTTGGACAATCACATTTCATTGCAAAGATTATACAATGAAAGAGGAATAAATCAATTTATTTACTTATTTGGAAAGATATTGAAAAATACTGTAGGTAATTTTTTGTGTATTACATAGTGATCCCCTCATTCCCATTCATTCAAATATGGGTCAATCGTTTCAATTAACACTCACTCGTATGGGTAATATAAGAAACGAGACTTACGGCCTGGCCACGGGGATCGGCGGTGCGAACTGCGATGCGGGAGGCGAGGCGACCATTCGCGCGGGGCCGTTTGCAGGCCACGGACCAGTCACGTTTGCCGCCGCGACCAGTAAGGAAGTTCGACAGCTAAATGTCTTTATCGAAATCATCTCGATATTGCTTGGAAAGTAATAGCTTTTGGTGCAAGACCTAATATTTGGAGAAATTGTGGAGAATTCCACAAGAAGTATGAGAAATTCAGAATATATCCAGAATTATTTTTTTGAGTATACCAGAATGAGTATTGAAACCTTCAATTATATTCTTATGAATATTTAACCAGAATTGGAGAAAAAAGTTAATGCAAATAGAATTTTAAGTGCCGCTGAAAAATTGTTTTTGAGATTAAGGTATATTAAATTAATGCTGTGGATGGCCAGACTTCCAAATAGCTGGTCTAGCCAGTATTTCAGTAACAAAAAACTCTGTATTCATTTTTCGCCGCGACCACGACTAAACTTATTTATTCCCTTCTCTATTCGCCGCGACTGCCGCTCGACTCCGTGGCTTGCACCGTACTGATTCATGCATTTGTTTCGCTCGCCCGTCGCGACGTCAGTCGCCCGCGCGATTCGCTCGGTACATTTCGCCGGTCGCATCGCTGGTCGCTGTTGCGCGTGGCTTGATTAGTACATTGCTATGAGTTTATTTCAGTCGCTAGACGCATCGCGGTTCGCACCGCGCGAATATTCGCGTCGGCGAATGTCCCGTGGCCAGGCTGTTAGCGCTTTATTTGACTCCCATTTGTCAAAAACTTACTATCCCTAATATTTTAAACGCAAAAGTTTGTAAGTATGGATGGATGTTTGTTACTCTTTCACGTATAACTACGGAATGGATTTTAATGAAACTTTAATGAAACTTCAGAATATTCTGATTTAATTAAAATCCAATACGCTACAATTTAGTTAAGTAAGAAAAAAAAATTACCATCTGCGAGCTTCTGGTGTGCGCTGCCAAAACCGCTAGAGTTAAACATATTTAATGTATGATGGAAATATTTATCTTAAATAGTTCTACAAAAAAGCCACAGTTAATATTTTATCTTATGTGTAAGCTATTATAGCCAAAATAGTGAACCATAACTACACTCTTGGTAATATAAATTGATTCCTAAATGAAAATAGATACTTCTTTCGCTTCTTGTATTTAAAGTAGATAAAATTGTCTACCTTAATAACCAGAAGTTTTTTTAGAAAGAATTGGTTCAAGTGCACGGGCATTTATTAAAGACAACGGCGGATCCAGGGGGGGTCATGGGGGTCATGACATTGCAGAGCATTTGTTAGAGGACGCAATTTTATTTATGGAACATGTAGGGGGGGGTCAATACAAGCTTAACTCCAAGTTTGTGGGGTTGGCGTGCTTGTCCCCCGGCCGCCATCTTGGATAAAGGGGTGCAAAAAACACGTTTTTGGCTATATCTCCTAAACTATCCATCGTACATAGAACTTGTAAAGACACATTTTGTAGCAAATCGCTGTGCCTACAATTATGTCTATGTAACTTTTTATCATAACTTAACTTGGTTAAACTTGTATTGACCCCCCCTACATGTTCCATATAGTCTAGTCGACAAGTTGAAAATGGTACAAAATAGAGATACTGCTCTTAAAATTATGTGCGATAGCTCATTGGATCCGGAATGACGTCTAGAAAAATGTGCCAAAAGCGTGTTTCAGAATCTGAAATTTCTTAAATATTAATAGTTTATTAAATATTGGCCAAAAACGAAATGCCATTTTTTTTCATCTTTAATTGTTTATAACTTTTGCAATTTTTTATGTGTTTATACACGCTTTTGGCACATTTTTCTAGACGTCATTCCGGATCCAATGAGCTATCGCACATAATTTTAAGAGCAGTATCTCTATTTCGTACCATTTTCAACTTGTCGACTAGACTAATAAATAAAATTGCGTCCTCTAACAAATGTTCAGTTTGGCCCTCAAATTGTAACATTTCAATGGACTACTAGACCTAACCTCAATCGGAATCGGAACGACTAAACTTCAACATATCATAACATAGTTCTAAATTAAAGAACTAAAATTTCTTTCTACCTATACTGTGTTTATAAGTGTACCTTTATAAGTATACTTAAAATTTGTTGCTGCAAATTCATTAAATACAAGAAATGTACAAGTTATTATGTGTTAAGTTTTTCAAGTGTACAATAAAGAATAAATATTTTTAAGTACAGTAATAACGTACTTTAATAAAATACCTACTTTTTACTTGTATCTATTGTTATCAAAACTAAATTATAAGTTCTTGACTTGACCACGACTATGTGACCACCTCCTGGCACCAAAGCTGGATCCGCCCTTGATTAAAGATTTATGTTGGCGCCTGTTAGATACCACGAGCAATACAGCGAGGAAATGCTGCCAGCGTTAAAGGTACACTGCCACACTGACACACATGTCAAATCCAATTCTTACACCTACTTGCCTAAAAAGGGCAATGAAATGAAATCTATCTATATGTAGCCATGCCCCGTCAGGGGGATCCGTGCTTTCTGACTTCTAGGTAACTTAAATCTTTAATTTCATTAACTGGCACGGTTTGTGCATTAGCCAGCGTCAAGTATAAGATTTTTATAATTCGTGCTTTGCCTTAAAAATTTGACCGTGTCCTCCATGTACGGTTTAAGCACTTGCCCGGTGCCGGACAACCCTCCCAAAGGCCGAGAACAAATTTAAATTAAATTAAAACTTGCCCTCGAACCGGGACTCGAACCCGGTACCCCTTATCTAGCTGTCACTTGTGTCTCGTCTTACTTTTTCAGTCTTTTAAGACACAATGCCCTAGACATCGTTTCTCAACCATTTTTATGTCGCACCCACGAAAAAGTTAAGTAAAACAGTCTCGCGACCCCGCGCTATTTTTAACGAATCTTTTATGTGTAGTTTGTATTTATTACTTTTCAACAGACTGCGACCCCTTTTAAAACTCGACCCCCTTCCCCAAGGGTTGCTACTCCCCGCTTGAGAAACGATGCCCTAGAGGTACAAATATTCAGTACTTATTAAAAAGCCAGGTATGTAGATTAATCTTTATTATCGAAGCAAAACTCAATACATATACCAATAATACTGAAAATAACTTACATTTATAAAACAAAACTACAATCTAACAGGAAAGATTTTAGTATATTTTTCGAATTTGACTAGTAATAAATTATTATGTAAATTACAAATCACTTTTTATAAATTCAGCTTTGTCACTATATAACTACAAAACTTTAAATACATAACTCGTACATTGTGCATGTATGAGCTTAACAATTACAAAGTACGCTTAACTGCTCTTTCTGTGGTTCTCTGTGTCGATTTCAAATCTTTTTCGCCTCTGGAACAGTCTCCAGGTCATAACCACTGTGGCAGCACCAAGAAGAATAGCTACAAAAGCTAAAGACAAAGCGGTAATTGAAATATTATCCTTGTGATCGGTACGGACGGGTCGGTCAGCCACTAGGGCAACTGGCCGGAGTATTTTAACCACAGGCTCACATCCCGATTCTCTCACATACTTTGCCCAAGTTCTATTGGCGTAGGTGATTTCTCTATGCCTTGCGAAGGGCCTTCTACCAGGGACAGTTTTGTTTGCGGTGATCGTAATATTACGTAGTTCTTTGTAATGACAGTAAAGGTTTTTCTTCTTCTTGTTTCCTTTGACGACGATGTCTTTCTCGGCACTCTTGGCTCCGACGAGAACATCGAGATCTCCCTTGATCATGTTAGCCCAGTCCCACATCTCGGCAATTTTACAGTCACATATGAACGGATTTCCTATTAATTTCAGCGAGTGTAGTTTTGGATTGTGTGCGAACACGTCAGGTTCTATGGTGGTCAAGTTGTTGTTACTGAGGTTTATTTTCTCAAGGTGGTGAAGTATTTCTAAAAAGGCTAAATCGCCTTCGGCCGAGGAAATTTTGTTTCCTGCTAAATTTAAATCCGTTATATTTTCAGTGTTTTTGAACGCATCCGGATTTAATGACGTTATATTGCTATTGCTTAAATCTAAGACTGTCACTTGCGACAGAGCCTTAGGGAATAATGGACCAACCTCAGGGATTATTAAAGGATTGCCTCCAAGTTTGATTTCTCTCAAGTCGGTATACGTGAGGTTTTTAAAGAAAGCGTTTGCATTTAATGGTCTCTTGAGTCCACAGAATTCTAACTCTAAAGTTGTTAATTGTGTCAGGTTGCCGAAAAGCCCAGCCTCTAATGACAATAAGTCGTTGCCTGATAAGACCAGCCTCTTCATGGAGGTCATATGTGAGAAAGTGTCGGGTCCAACAAATGACAAATTACTGTAACCCATATTAAGATATTCTAATTTGTCAAGTGGCGCAAGTAATCTTGTGAATACATTGGCCAACGGGTTATGTGAAATATCAAGTTCAATCAGATTTTCGAAGACATTGAAATTATCTGGAAGGTTTCGAAGACCGCAATTGCCCAAGAAGAGTTTTTCTAACTTAGGCAAAGGTGCTAGTGCTTCTTGTAAGTCTGGAGCGAAAAGTGGATTGCCTGACAGATAAAGAGACTTTAACCTCGTTGCATTTGCGAAAGCTTCCCCAGAAATTGGTCCCTTTATATGGCAATTTGACAGATCCAGCAGTTCCAAATGGTTGACGCTTTTACCCAAAGTCGCAGCCACATCTAAATCGAGCAATTTGTTGTCAGCTAGAACAAGCGTGAACAAGTTTGTGCAGTTCGAGAACGTATCTTCCGACAAGTAAGTGATTTGCGATTTCCGCAGATTCAAATACTCCAGTCTTGGCAGGTTTCCCAAAACTTCAGGCCAGTTTGTTTCCGTTAAATAGTTTCCGGCTAGCTCTAGGTTCTTCAAATTTACCAATGCTTCAAAAATGTTTTCAGGTAGGTATTTTAGTTTACAATCGTTCAACTTGAGTGTATCTAAGCTTGTTAAATTATCAAAAACAGCAGCGTCTAGACTAATCAAAGGGTTATTTGAGAGGTCGAGTGTTGTAATGGAGGTAATATTATTAAAGAACACCGGGTTGATGCTAGAAATTTTACAGTTGCTGATGTCTAGGTATTGAAGTGTTCCAGATATAAGAAAGGGTCCCTCAATGACGCCCAAAGGATTGTCTTGCAACTCGACATTAAGTAGGCCTCGGGAATCTCTGTAATTGAAAAAGAAAAGTTATAAATCGTAATTATATACTAACGCCAGCGGCGCAACAACCCTTGGGATTGGCCTTAGATTTTTGTCTCATTGTCTTGATGTTGTCGCCTTTTTGGATCTAAGACATGCCTATTTCCTCAGGATGTGTTACATTTACCATAATAAATAATAATAATAAGCCTTTTTATTTCCTGTTTTACAATAGTTGGTAGTTGCTATATTACAGTAACCAAAAAATTTATTTTTATTAGTAGCTTAGATTATGTTAGTAATGTTTGGATAAAGGCCTCCTCCAAAGATGCCCATTTTTGTCGTCCTGTGCTATGGAGTACCAGTTTATGCCAGCTGATCTTTTCAGATCATCTTCTCAGCGGTCTTAGGTCCTTTCTATCGGGTAACTATTCTTCCAGTTCGTCGGTCAGAGGTAGGGTTGCCAACCATACTATATAATAACGTATCCTACTTTATTTTTGGTAATTATACTTTATACTTTTACATACAAATAAAGTATGCAAAAATACTTTATTGTCAACCTTTACTGTGGTGCGTAAAACAAAATACTCATTATGGGTACTTAACGATTCATAATTGCTGAACGAAATATTTAAAACGGATAATGGAAACAATTTGTAATTACTGAACGAAATGTTAGATGTCAGTTGTGACTTGTGACATTTGTCAATTGTCACAGATGTCTTTCATTATCGACGAAATTGTACAAAACTGGGGCCTTAGTCAAGATGCCTTAACAGTAGTGTATGTAGAACGTCAAAAACTAAATTTGTATGAAAACTTTTCGACACGAACTGTCATTTCCATACAAATTAAGTTTTCGACTTTCTACATACACTACTGTTAAGGCATCTTGACTAAGGCCCCTGGTCCGTTAGTTTTGTTTATAAGTGAAGAATGCATTTTAAAGTAAATATTAATGCTGAAAATGAGGAGTAAATATTAATGCTGAAAATGACGAGTAATTCTGATAGCGACACACCAGTGACTCCTAAAAAAGCTAAAATAACAAAAGTTTTACAAAAATATAAACCTGAGTGGGAAAAACAATACAACTGGCTAACAAGTGATCTTCAAAATAAAAGTAATGCAAAATGTATTATCTGCGGCGTGAATTTTACAATCAGTTCAGCTGGCATTGGACAGGTATGAAAATTTGTAAATGTGTTCAAATATTGTTAAAGCTACGTTGCCTCTCCTTTCGTATAGTTATTTTATTTACATTTTTTAACTTACTTACCTAACCTAATTCATTAGGTTTTCTTACATCTTTACAGAAAAAAGTCACCAGTTTGTATATGATAGGACTTTGTACTGAAAAGTTTTAAAAACAGTTATAGTTGCATGTATTTTTGAAATTTAGTTTGTATTGACAATTTATACATTATTTTTTAAGCATGAGCATGGGAAATTAGTTTCAATGTTTCAAATTCTATGAGTTATTTTAAAAATAATCTTATTACTTGTTATTATAATAATATAAAAAATATATATATTTTTCATACTAATTGTCAGAATTCTGAAATGTTTATATTCTCATTCACATAATAGGGATGATGACTAAAAAATAATAATTAGTCCATCTTTTAGAACGCCAGAAAATAGTAGATACGTATTTTTCTTTTTGCTTCTAAAACTTAAAATAACAAAGTTACAGAGCGGCGAAAGTTCGCGCTACGTCATTATTTCGTAAAATTTTTACGAAAGAGTGACGTCACGAGCCCCTACTCCTGAATTTGAATGTGCTGTATCTTTGTCAATATTATTCGTATGGACAAATAAAAAAATACGTATCGAGTATTTTTCTATAATCTAACTGACGGACTAATTAGAATCTTGTTGTTTTAACCCAGGAGACATCCCTATTGTTTTTGGATAAAATTATATTAATAGACATTTTAATATTTGTCATTCAATTGAAGAATATTTGAAGAATTCATGATTCAGTATTATTTTGAAAATGGTGATGGATTAATATGGTGGAGGTTCCAGTTTTTGTTTTTTTCTTTCTACAGATTAAGCAACATCAAAATACTCAGAAGCATAAGATAAAAACTGAAATGAAGAAAACATCTGGTGCATTACAAAATTTCCTTACATCAGATACTAAATCAAGATGTCAAGGATCTAGTGATGATGAGAATATTATAGCAGCGGAATTAGCATTGACTTTTCACACTGTGAAGCATAATTTATCTTATAATAGCATGGATTGTCTAAGTAAATTAAACAAAATTGTGTTTGTAGATTCTAAAATAGCTAGTAAAATACGCTTGGGAAGAACTAAAATGGAAGCTTTAGTGATAGAAGTGTTAGGTGTTCTTTCCATATTCTGTGGAAAGTGTAATAAATGATTTACATGATGATGTATTTTTCTGTCTCCAGACTGATGCATCAAATAAAAAAAATATTAAGTTATTTCCTCTTGTAGTGCAATATTTTTCAATAAATGAAGGGATCCAAAATAAACTGATCGATTTTTACGGAAATTCTAATGAATCTGCTGATGGCATGTTAGAAGCTATAAAGAAGTCTATGGATTCCCACAACCTGTCATTCAATCAAGTATCAGGTCTCAGTGCAGACAATTGCAATGCTAATTTTGGCATTCATCACTCATTGTACACAAATATTAAAAAAGAAGTACCAAACCTTATAAAAGGCAACTGTCATGCACACATTATCCATAATACAGTGAAACATGCTATGGGCTACTTGATTTGTGACATAGAAAATATTGTTTTGAAAATATACAGTCATTTTTCGGTATCTGCTTGTAGACGAGATGATTTAAAAAAATTTGTTACTATGGTTGATGGTGAATTTCACGAAATCAAACGTCATATTGGTACACGGTGGTTATCACTACTTCCAGCCGTTGACACACTTTTACTTAATTGGGAACCAATATGTAATTATTTTATAAGTTTAGGTGATAATTGTGCAATAATTATACAAGAATTATTAAAACTAAGTGATCATCAGGATAGGGAGGTTGTGGAAATTTATCTACACTTTACAAGCCACATGCTTAATATTTTTAATAAAACGATAAAACGTCTGGAAGGAAATGATGTAACTATACTAGATGTCTATAATATTATGGATAATTTAAGAAACGAATTAGAACAAAGAAAAACTGATAAGTACTTTGGTTATGAATCAAAAATGAGATTACAAAAAATTCAAAAGTCATCACCCGAAACATTCAATACAGTTGTCAGTAACTTTTCGCTTTTTATTGATATGAGCTTAAAATATATGATAAAATGGTTTGAGTTTAGCGAAGATAACTGGCTTTCAATACTTCCTAACATGTCTTTGAAAAATGAGGTAAAATTTGAACATTTTGAAATGGTTATTACAAAGGCCAAATTACAAGACAGATTAAATATTAAGATGGACGATATGTATTCCGAATCTATAAGACTTAGAGAAATCCAAAGAAAAGTCACTAATGATGATAAAGAATTTTTAGTGAAAAGTACAGTAGAAAAATGGCAATATATACTTAAAAATGCATCTGATAGCTTACCAAATATAAAAAAATGTATTTCTTACCTACTCTCCGTTCCTGCAACTTCAGCTTTTACTGAAAGAGTTTTTTCTGTAATGAATCTGAAGTGGCGAGAAGAGAGAAATAGAGCATCAATAAATTTAATTAAAAACGAATTGTTTATCTATTTAAATTTAAATATTGATTGTCAAACAAGCTTTGTAACATTTAAAGATAACAAGAAATTGTTATCATGTGCTAAAAGCACACAAAAATACGTTTTTAAAGCAAAAAAAAACATAAAATTTGAAATATACTTTTTTTTCTTCCTAATACTTTATTTTTTTCCTATCCAAACCACTGTTATACGTTTTATTTGTCAAAAAAAGTTGGCAACCCTAGTCAGAGGATACATTCACCGTATCGAGTGTTAAATACGCATAGACAAGTGCACACATTGACAAAAGTCCATTTGTGTACAGCCTGAGTTTGGACCTACGACCTCATGGATAACAGTCACAACGATCAGGCCACTAAGCCAACACTGCTCTTATTGAATAGTAGGTATTCATTAAATTAAGTACGATATTAAAGTAACTTATAAGACTAATTGTAATGTTATCATAAATTTGCAAGTGCGAAGGGTGGGACGATATGGTCAGTAATTCAATCCACATTTTGCGTGGCCATTATCTAATATTGACATCACGAGTGCCAATTGTAGCTCGGGTAGACCGCAACAAGTTAGAATAAATTGCTATAATTTTGTCATCACTTCTATTATACTGTGATTGAACCGAACAATGGAACGTGAGAAACTATACCTTATGTAAACAATGGGCGTAATAATTTCTATGACGGCATTACAGTCTATTAGCGTAAATATTATAATATTAATTAAATATATCTAGAATAATTAATAGGGAGGAATGTCCAATATAGATTTGTACCGTTTTATTTTATTTTATTATTGTTTATTACTTAAGATGTCATGTGGAACATGGTGTAATGGTTGCAGCTCCTTACAAACGTTGTGTAAAACAAAAAACCTGGCGATTAAAATGAGTGGCGGAGAGTTTATTGCCAGTTCTTCTCTTCCGTTCTTCGCCCTTGATTTGAGAACTGGCGTAAATGTAAAATTAAAAGCATTCAATGTATATTTCTTTTTTGACGTTCATAAGTGTACATTGAGTTACCTACATGAATAAATAATTTTTGACTTTGCCAGGAAGTTAAAGTCATACGTTTAAAAATTTGATTTTACTCACAAGAAAGTTTCGGGATCCACATAAGTGATGTTATTGCCAGACAAATCAACGTCTATCAGATACTCAAGTCCTTTGAATGCCTGCCGCTCGACTCTTGTCAGCCTATTATCCGCAATTTGCAATCTCCTCATCTTAATATCGCTAGGGAATGATTTAAGACTCGTTATATTGTTTCCATTTAGATCTAGAATGTAGACGCTGAGACTGAGCTCATCGTATGGAACTTCTGTCAGGTTACTCTCAGAACAGTCCGTGACCCAGTTTATCCTGAAGTAGTGGCAGTCACATTCATCTGGGCATTCTAGTTCAAAACTGTCTCCGTTGAAACTGTAGCCAAGATGCAAAGCAATCAGACATAGAAATAATACCGCTGTGTTTGCCATTTTATTTGAGTGAATCTTCAATTCCTCGGTTCACCCATGCTATTCGATCTGAAACAGGAAATAACATGTATTTCACAACTAAATATTTTTATTTCTACGAGGTAACAATTGATGTTAATGCAGCGAAGAAGGAACTCTTTTGTAAAGGAAATTCCAGTTTTCAACGAACATGAATCATTTAAGGTCGTCTTAGGAGGAAAACATAGGTACCATTATATCAGTATAGGATCCCGATATAAAGCGACCTTCACCGAGATGTTTACTTGATGAAACGTATTTTATATTTAATTTAATATGTCAATAAATAGATTTAACATTTCACCGGTTATAATGAAAAGGTGTCTAATAATCATTAGACAAATTCAATAAAATAAAATAATTTAAATATAAAATACGTTTCATCGAATAAAACCCCTCGGTGAAGTTCGTTGGATATCGGGATCTTATACTATGTACTTTAGACATTGCAAGTAACTATTGTGCAACGTGATGTATCGATTAGCGATTGTTTAAAACTATCACGACAATGCAATGTATACAAAGTCATCCTATGAACTACTGCAGATGCACATTGTTGACGTATTGTTTAATAAATATGTTTTGATTACAGATTCAAAATTCTTAATTTTTATTACTAACACTACGTAGCATTTTCATATCTAAAGAGTTATTGTTCGTAAACGCTTATAGTATGTAAGTTACAAATTGGTCCAATTTGAACTGAAATCTAGAATCGACAAAGACCAGTGCCCTTTAATTGGATTTTTTACAATGAGGTGAGTCCACAATACAAGTAATCTGACGAATAGCGACTCAATCGTTGTAATGGCCGCATCCTGCTGACCGAGTCTAACTGTTTCCCGCCAGAATTTTCCAGAAGCGCAATGGAATATAGTAATAGAATAGGCACGCTAAGCTTATCATTTGATACAAATAATCCTCTAAAGCATTTCAGATAGCGATATCATTGATGATGGATCATTGCAGCCGAAGTGATATACGAACTTTTTTATCGCTATGAACTTTCCATATGTGGCGAAAGTACCCATGTCCTATCGACTTCGTATGTATTTAAGGAAATATCAAAAAGGTTAGTCGTAGAGCTGGCAGCTACCTCGGACAAAGAATTCGTCTAGCTATTGCAGTCCTTGCCAGTGTCTTCGGAACCTTGCCTAAAGGGACTCCTTTTAATAATATATTTTAAGCTTAGATATCTGTATTAGTATTAAAATGTATATTAAAAACTCTTTTATATATTTTTAGGCAAATATAGAAAATTAAATAATACAACATTTGCAATTGCTTTAAATATGTTTCTAAACAAGAACGACGAAAGAAATAATGACTAAAAAGTAATCTTGCTACTCCGTTTTAACAGAACAGAACAAAAAAGCACTATTTTAGTAGTCGTTTCTTTTATTAATGTGATTACCGGGCGCGCCTGTTGAGTGATCCACTTAAGTAAACAAGCCATTTTGTTAATAAGCCAAGCCATAAATTTCAAAGACGCGTTACAAATGGGTCGATTAAAGAAGATAAAGCTTTGGGGTTTAATTTATTTATACTAATTTAAATTGCACCCGCGATGGGTACTAGAATAGTTTGCGATTCATCTATAGCCCATGATTGGATTAAAATATGTCCCATGGTAAAGAAGATAAGAAGTTGAAAGTTACATCAAACAAATTCCATCCCGTATTTGTGTTTATAAAAAATTTCGATAACAATATTTATACTTCAATTGAAAAGTATCTAGTTTTGTTTCGTAGTGCTGATATTGACGCCAAGTTTTCTTTTTATATTTAATTTGATGAATATATGAACTGAACTACTATTGTATCCATTAGCTTGGTGCTTGGTACTATTGTAACATTAACAAGTAGCTTTAAAATGACACTTAAGTTGTAATACGATAATATAACAATGTTCGTTAGACATTACAAGAAATTTGAGATATATTTTTCGCAGCAGTTCTAGAAAAATTAAATATAACAGGAAATAAAATTTGGTTGAAAAATGGAAACACCCAGATTCTTTGGGTGGGTGAAACAGTTAAATTAAAATAGAGATGCACAAATAAAACGGCCACTTCTGTTGTTATGAGTCAACATGTGTGATTCAAATCTATGAATAATACGAAATATCTATAATAAAATTGTCTGTGGTTTAATCGAGTGTTACATATTTAAATAACACGATTGGCTTGTTTTGTAAAGTCTCACTGAACATGATTGTTGAAGAACAATGGAAACGTCGAGATATTTTAAAAATGTAATAAGATCGCGATTATGTCCGTTACTTATTATTTTTTATCATAATTCATAGCTCTATTATTAACCGTTTTAACACTAACTTGCTGATGAATGCCTTTAAAATTGTTCAATACTATTGGATCCTAAAATACAAAAAATATTGTTTACTTACCATTATCACACTTTTGAAAGATATCGAAATGATTGTTTGCAGAAATGTGTAATAACGCCAAGCCAACCCAAACCTGATGTAAAGCAAAATACCTAGTCTAGACAGTTTAATGATTTTAAAATCAAATATATAATTTGATCTACATGTATTGTATTATGTTAATGTTTTTTAATACGTGGTAAACGCGATAAAAATATATCCACTAAAACTATAGTTTCGAATTATAATTCGAAATCAAACAAGGCCATAAAGAAGGCGCCTAATATAAACTACGTAGCAAATTAGAGTCGCAATTTCTATCGCAAAGTATAAATAAAATTATATGTACAAAATAAATAATAATTATAATCAAACTTAAGTTAATTATTTGTATTAGATTTTTATTATAGTGTATATCCTAATTGCGTGTAGTAAAAGTGAGCTTGTCTATTGCGCATATAAATCGTTTTCAGTTAATTTCGATCAGTACCACGAACTTTAACAGATTAAACCTAAAGGAAAGCGTAAAAATGACTCATAATATATTTTTCACTCAAAGCCGCAGACAAAATGAAATAAAGACATGTTTTACAAACCCTTCTGTCGATGTCGTGTGGACTCGTACAACAGGTTTTAAGGTTCACATGTTAAGTAACTTTATGCAGTTTTTTACATAACAATAGTAACTTTCAAGATACGATTCCTTTTACACTTATGTTATACTATTTATCCTAAGAAACCAACCAAATTTGCTATAATTTTTTTTCTGTAACTACGCAGTAGGATTCTGTATTTCAAAATATTTTGAGTGTTTGAAAGTGCATCAGTACATATCATTATTACAATTCTGCTTCACTTTATAAAATTGAGCAACTTACCTACGAGATCGTAGTACGATTGAAATCCAAGGAAAATTGTTTTAATTCCCGAAAACGTGACTTACACAACTTCTACCAAGTCTGTTTTGTACACTAAGTCCGAGGTCGTATAAAATATTTTTCCGGCCCGCTGTTTACGTGATTGCAATGAGCTTACATGAATTGTACACAGTATGTTACGTGCACTCTTACTGCCATAGAATATTCTACTAAGTTAAAAACACATAATTTCGATAGCGTTCCACGGCGACGGAATAATAACCTAGTTGATAACTTGCTTTATGTAGCTCAACTTTTGTATATTAATATAATGTACTCTATGGCTTATATTTTAATTATTACAATGGTGGCAACATGTTTGTTATGAAAATGAAAATACTAAATACCCAAACGATAGGCGTATAGCGAAACAGAACATGCGTAATATAAAGTCTTAGCAATAAGTTTAAGACTGAAATCTGAGTCGATACTTAGCGTGAATATTATAACTCCTTGATCCAATTTTTTTTGACCTTATCTTACATTGAATTAATAATTAAATACCAATATATTTTTATATGATATCTACCTTAGTATTCATACCACACCTAATGACGAGAAAAACTGTACAAATAACCCGTTCTCTAATTTTTACAATTAAGATTTCGTCTGAGTCCTATTACATCGCCTAGCGACTGGCGGCAATTTTATTTTGGGATTATGAATACCCTTAGCTGTTAGATTTAGAATAGCAAGCATTATACGAAGATATCAATTGTCAATATTTTCGGAACGTCAGATTAAAATGTCAGCTGATTTCTAATTTTTGTTTTCACACCAGTGCAGAATAGCAATACAATTTTCACAAAAAGTAATCATAATTAAATTCTTTAACCATGGCGCAAAACGAGCCATCAAATTCCAATGATGGTGAATCCTTAAAGAGTGTGTTTGATAGTGCAATGAAATTGTTCGATAAAGTGGAAACCGGCAGCGAAGCCACCAACAGTGATGCGGTGCAGGTAAGAAAGTTTTATAAATATAAAGGCCGTCTATGGAAAACTTGATTGATATAAATCATTACTATGAGGATGTAATATGTGTTCACAATACTATTCAGATTCTCAATCTCTCAGAAAGCTGAACCAGATTTTTGTGTACCAATAAAAGTTAAACACATGAACTCTCAACAATATGCAATGAATACTGCTAAATGCTTTTATGGTTGTTTATAATGATGAACTAAGTAATTGTTATTTCAGATGACTGTAAAAACAGCAATAGCCAACTTTGAGAAAGCTACCAACTTAGTATCCATGTCAGGCATGTTTAGTAAAAATGAAGCCCTAGAGGAGTTACCAACGGAGACTCTTCAATATCTTCTATTGCCTGCACTATTGGGAACACTTACATTAAAACTATGCAATCAGCCTAGAAAAGATATCATTAATGTGGCTGAAATTTACTTCAAGTAAGTTTTTGTGATTGATCTAAAGAAAATTGAGAGTTATAATTAATTATTTGTTTTATTGTTAAGGTAATCTATCCATCTTAAAAAAAAATTACACAAGTTATACAAGTATACAAAACAAAGATTAAATCTTGAAACATATGATGCCCCATTTTGCTTTACGATAAGACTTCAAAAGAAAAAGCAATTCAAAAATACAATGCATAGTTTATAAATAAAATTACAGGGACTTCATACAGCGATGTAAAGATTATGGAGTCACAGATGTTGAAATTCCACAAACTGCTAGTGATGATAGTAATGCCACTAGATCTCAAACTGAACAGGCTAAAATAGCTACCATGGTAAGTTATTTTATTTAATATTTAGCAAACATTCCAGTGTTAAAAGTAATTGGTTACCACAGCTGATTTACATGTCAAGGCTTGCAAATGCTCTGTCTGACTTTTGTAAAAAATCTTTCTCTTTTTGTGTTTAACAAAAATTTATGTTTGGTTAAAAGGGTGCTGTGATGTTTTCTTAATCTTTTGCTTGTTGCTTACATCTATATAGTAAATATTTTAGTACTATGTATTTATATATTACTGCCTATTACGCACAACAGACCTATTGAGAGTCTTAGTGCGGAAACTGAGTCCACAACCCAATATATTACTGCCTAAAGGCGATGCATAAAACCTATTTAATAATTTTTTGGGAGATCGCTTTGTTACAGATAATACAATTATGTGTTTGAAATTGTAATTTTGCTTACATGAAATACTAAAGGTGCTTACACGTGAGGCGAAAATAAAGAGATACAATGCGTTGAAGGAGCTCAAAGACAAATTAAGCACTTTATCAAAATCCATGGAATCTCCAAATGTAGATGATCAGACAAAGAGAGAATACTTCACAACCCTCTTATTGAATTATGTGAACCAAGTCCTGGATGAACTAAACAGTATTGAACAGGAAAAGCCAATTTTGGAGTATATGTCTAAACATGCAGGAGGTGAGAATGAAAGTAATTAAAGTCAATGAACCTCATTCAAATACAAGTAAACAAAAAAAAGTATCAACTACATGTCAACTGAATAAGAAAATGTGTTTTTACCCTTATCTTAAAAACGATTGAACAGGTTTTGATGAAATTTGGACTGTTCCCTGAACATTCTCTTACTTTCAGAGAAAATTGTGGCAATACATACAAATGTATAAAAGCTTTTAACCTAATTTTTGTTGTTAGTAAGTTAATTTAAATATTATATAATATGCTTGTGAATCTATGCCATACCACACCCTACCTACTTTCTTATTTACACTGCAGAGTGTGTGGAGGATCTGTTAAAATCTACTCTAGTTACATTAATTAAGTAAATGATTAAGTTGAAAAGAAATGTTAAAAGAAAATACAATATTAAACAGTTTTTAAAATATGTAATTTAATTAATATTTTAATTTTAAAGTTACAAAAGTGAATGTAGCATTATTTACATGATGCATGTATGAATGATCGTGGGTTAATGGAGGTTATTAATTCTAAATATGTGAGAATCACATTAAAAATGGGTAAAGTTAATAATAAAATATAATTCTTTTATATATAAAAATGATTTAGTTAATGACCCAATCGGTCCAATTCTAATAATTTTATAAAACTTATTTTAAATGGTGTTTGGGTCTTGGTTAATAATGTTTTTTATTTATATTAATAATAATTATTTATTTATGCAAAAAAATTATATGGCATTGGGTTAGAATTTGTTAGATACAACATTGTCCTTTAGTAGGTTTATTATTTAATTATTATTACCATTTAGTAACATCCAATATTATTGTTTTTATTCCAGAAATAAAACCAAAACATCGTGAGCGTGCCCCGCCCCTAAAGCCAGTTATAATAACACGTGATGCGATACAAAAGGCCGTGTATGGGGCCGGATACCCTTCATTGCATACTATGACCATTGAGGAATTCTATGACAAACGAGTCCAGGAGGGAACGTTAGTATATTTTTGTTCTATACTTTAGGTTTTCTGTGTGAAAAATATGTGTGGTTTGATATATTTGTTTTTCGTCTATGTGATTATGCTGTTTTTGATGAAATAAGTCACTCAACATTCTAACCCGTGTGGGGCTTTTAAGTTTGTATAAAATATTGTATTTCTTTTTAACTAATTCCAGGTTTCCAGCCGCATCAAATATTCCACACAAAACAATACAGAATACAGAAACAGATGGAGATGAAACTGAGCAAATAAAAAAGGTAATTAATATATTAGAATATTATGCCCCAGGAGGGGTGATAAAATATAGTGTTTTACCAATCTTAAACTCAAAATATCTTTATTCATATAGGTAAACAAGTACACTTATGAACGTCAAAAAAGAAGCTAAATTAATTGTAAATTCTATTCTAGTTCTATTTCGCGTATTTTACTGGTGAATGTCACCATTTGTTTTAAAATCGTTTATATTTTTTTGGACATACAACAAGGCTTCAAGAAGACCAGATAGTGTCATAATATTTAATTCCTTAAACTTATTCCGTACCAACTCCCTCGGAGAAACACATCAAATACCCCATACAGCCCGCGTCTGCAGCACAATAATGTTATAATGGTGGAAAATATTATTATAGGTACATAATGTTGAATGCTCTTTTAGTGAAGATTTACATTAACACTTTTAATTTACATTAGTTACTTTAAAAATTACAGTTATTACATAAGTTCAAACAACATATTATGACAGTTTTTTTAGTCTAAAATGTTGGAATATTATGAGAATTGAGACGAATTGCGATCCGATATTTTAATTTGGTTTGGGTTAACATAGCTAAGTTTTTAAAGAATTAATGTTTAACTAAATTTTGTGTAGGAGCAACTAGTAGAAGATGAAGATCCCGAAGAGTTAGCACGCCAACGAAGTATGGACGAATACAAGGACGACCACAGACGTGGATGGGGCAACAGACATAACAGGAGCTAGCCGAATATAGTTTATATTCTGATAAAAATAAAACTCGTATTGACGTTGACAGCTGACAGTTGATTGATTTTTTTCTAGTGGATTTGTGAATTAAATATCTTGTGATTAATTTACTTAAGAATTTAAAATGTCAAATTGACAAATTACAGTACATGTGACAGGCAAGAGTGATCTTCTGCTTGCTTGTTCTGACCCATCTTTAGTTAAAAAGTTAATTACTAAATATGAATTAGAAGGAACTATTGTCTAATTTGTTCAATAAATGCTATATGGTCAAATACAGCCAACGCCGGCAGCGCACTCGCGAGCCCTCTGGCATTGAGAGTGTCCATGGGCGGCGGTATCACTTAACATCAGGTGAGCCTCCTGCCCGTTTGCCCCGTTCTATAAAAAAAAATCAGATATTTAAAGTTACATTTGCCACTAATGACTTCCTAAGAAGGGGCCGTTCAAGTTTTATGAAAGCAGTTTTACTGCAATTCACTATTTTTCAATATTTAAAAAGAATTAGCATTGTATTTTAATTGAAAAGTTTAGAAAAAAAATACTAGAGAGTAATAGTGGTTTGGCAAATATACATGTGTCACGTGAATAAAATAATTTGCTTTGTTTATTAGTTTAAAGCGCCCTCTAGTGACTACGTTAAAAAACATAATTGGTGTAGTCACTCATATGAAATGTATTTTTCGATCTTATAAAATATAAAGCATTAAAAAAATATGATTTTTTATTTAACACCTTTTTAGATTTCTTTGATCCTGAATATTTCTGTCTGTGTTTGATCAATAATATCATAATTTTATTCATGTAGTCCTTGTGCGAATCTTCCTTATTACGCCTTTAGTACACCTACGCAATCGCATGCGGCAGCGAAACGAAAAAACTGTAAGTTGTATGGCAACGTTTCGCATGTGTTTTGTCTCGCTCTAATATATAGCTAGATGAAATAGTTGCGTCCTTGTCGGTATTGTTTCGCAAGTAACTGCAAAATGGCTGTTACACAGACGCAGACGTTTCGCTAGTGGAGTTTCGCATCGCAAGGCGTCACCACGCGTTCTGTCAGTGAGGACAGAATTTCGCACAATGAAAGCCGAAAATATTGAATTATTAATGAATTTGATTCGAAATTATCCCGAACTATATTTAGTTGGGCATGTTGATTACAAAAATGCATACAAAAAAGAGGTGGCATGGAGGAAAATTCAAGAAAAGACGGGAATAGATGGTAAGAAATTTATTGTTTACATTTTCGTTTTTAATTTTTAATTTCTTTTAAAATAGTAAACAAATTGAGATCTAACATTAAATGCTGCTAAGTCCGCCCTATGTCTATTCAGATGCATCGGTACGAATGCTCCTATAGATTCCGAAAATTGATTGTTTTCGAATGTGTGTGCACCTTCGTGAATCTGCAGTAAGTTATGCAAGCACAATGCAGCCTTAACAATTTTAATAGTATTATTTAAATATGTTTCTTAAGGCCTCAAGAATATTCTAAATTTTTGTGTTAATATGCCTAACGCACATTCTACTACAACTCGTGCCCTACTTAATGATTTATTAAAATGTTTTTATCGTTGTCAGTCATTGCTGCATCTCAAGTGAAAGGTCTCATCATAAAGGTCTCTAATTTAAATCCTCCATCTCCAATGAATACATGTGGAGTAGGCTGTTGAAAACCTGGCAAAGGCTTAGAAGCTGGCAAACTCAGATCCCGTCCATTTTTTAAAAGTTGATAAAATTATGAATTCTCAAATATTGTACTGTCGGAATCCTTACCATATGATCCGACATCTACGTATGTAAATTTGTAATGTGGATCAACTACAGCCAACAACACAGTAGAAAATCGTTTTTTATAGCAATAGAATAGTGAGCCGCTATGAGGTGGAGATTTTATAACAATATGCTTGCCGTCAACGCTTCGAAGGCAGTTAGGGAAACCCCATATTGTTTGAAATGCATCTGCTTTTTCCAACCTTGATTTAGTAGATGGAACTGGGATGTACTCTGGTTATAGTATCTTCCAAATTTGTTCACATACTTGTGTTACTATCTTTGAAACAGTACATTCACCCTAACGATAAGAGAAAGCTATTGTTGTGTATGTGTCACCAGTTCCTAAAAACCTGAAAATATTGTTACAGTTAAAACTCTGAAGGCTAAATGGAGAAATCTAAGGGACACTTATAAAAAATATAAAACGGGCCAGCAAACAAACAGTGGACAAGCAGCGAAGAAACTTGCTAATTGGCAATGGGCTGATCAAATGTCGTTCATAGATTCTTCCATAAATTTAAGGCAAAGCGAAAGTACACTGGAAATTAGCAGGATAATACCGGATACCAGTATTATATCAACAGAGAATGACAATGAAGATGTTACTGAAGCTGAACATATTGTTAAACCCGAGCCAACTGAGAGTAATCCAAGACATGAAGAAATATCCCGAAGACGACGACGTGTAAGCAACAACGATCCTGCTGACAAAATTATAAATTATTTGAATACTAGAAAAACGGGAACTTCAGGCACAAACACTGCAGAAAAGCTTGTCAAAATAGCATGTGACAGAATCGACATGGAGTTTTTAGGTTATGCCAATACAGTCAAGAAGTTTTCTTTACATAAACAAGCTGTTATTAAACTTCAAATAACAAATATTATAACTCAGGCTCAACTGCAAGAACTTGATAATGGCCGGCCAAATTCTAATTTAAGTAATTCTTCATCCTGCAGTACTAGCAATCTTTACTACATTAATTAAGACTTGGTCATGTCAACCCCAATGCAATCTGCAGAACAGCCATCATATCATACAGATATTACACAAATGCACTCATCCAATACACAAACACACTCACCCATTACACAAATACATACGATCCCCACTATTGACAATACAGACTCCCAAAATATTTCAACAAGTGCACAAATACACATACCTAGTACACCAACACATTCGGTTCCGACTTTCATAAATACAAACTCAACCATTGCACAAATACACTCACCCAATATACAAACCCATTCGGTCTCGACTGTTAGCAATACAAACACCCAAGTACCAAAAAGACAAAGAACACGACAACTTAAAAATATACACGAATATATTTGTAATTGGAATGTGGAAAAATGAAAACATTAACATTTAATAAATACTTACCTTAAACAAAGTGCAAGTCCTTCTTTTGTTGAAATAGCCATCCTGTAGTTTGTATTTTTCTTTTTAATATGAGGTTCAAGAAGATTGTGTAAATATTCAAAAGTTTCCGGCTTCATTCTGAAATATGTATGGAAACGATCTTCATGTGATTGAAGTTCTAAGCATAGCTTATTTTCTCCGAGTTTTCTTCGTTTCTAATTTATTTCATGCACCCAGATTCTACGCTTTCTCTTTAATACCGACGCCAGCAACAACAATTCTTCCTCTTCAGAATCTGAAAGCGATGACTGGGACGAATCAGATGACATTCTGAAACGACGTCTGCACCTACAGCCCACGAAAGCTACAATGACATTTCCTTGCGAAAAAACTGCAGTGTACCTACTAACGTTCCGCAGATATTTCGCTACCGCAATTATTTCGCAAAGACTCGCAGCCGCATACGAACGCGTAGGTGTACTAAAGGCGTTAATGTCTTGAAACTGAGATTTTACGCCTTTAGCCACACCTACGCAATCGCATGCGGCAGCGAAACGACGAAAAAACTGTAAGTTGTATGGCAACGTTTCGCATGTGTTTTGTCTCGCTCTAATATATAGCTAGATGAAATAGTTGCGTCCTTGTCGGTATTGTTTCGCAAGTAACTGCGAAATGGCTGTTACACAGACGCAGACGTTTCGCTAGTAAAGTTTCGCATCGCAAGGCGTCACCACGCGTTCTGTCAGTGAGGACAGAATTTCGCACAATGGAAGCCGAAAATATTGAATTATTATTGAATTTGATTCGAAATTATCCCGAATTATATTAAGTTGGGCATGTTGATTACAAAATCCTCTTCAGAATCTGAAAGCGACGACTGGGACGACTCAGATGACATTCTGAAACGACGTCTGCACCTACAGCCCACGAAAGCTACAATGACATATCCTTGCGAAAAACCTGCAGTGTACTAACGTTCCGCAGATATTTCGCTACCGCAATTATTTCGCAAAGATTTGCAGCCGCATACGAACGCGTAGGTGTACTAAAGGCGTTAAAATGAAAGCCGAATTTTCGCCCTGTTCCGTTGGATTGTGATTGGTCAAAAGTTAGTCAGTTAAGAGTTAAGACGCGTCATGACATTGCGTTAGTCAAATCAAACGCACAGATTCGTCTATCGTTTTACATTCTCACATCAAAACACTTAAAAATAAAAATAAATCTGGTTTTTACAATCTACAGTAACAATGTGTTGTATGCAGACTGATTTGGTTTTTATTAACGGGTCAAGCTTAGGTCGACATGTACCGTTACCCCGAGACATAGCCACAGAAATAAGTCAGAAAATTTCTGTAATATCCGGTGACTACCGTTTTTTCCTCAAAACCAATATGTATGTCTAACAAAGATAGATGAAACTAATATAAAATGAGGCAACTTATTGTAGAGAAATTATATTCTATCATTACAATTAGCTAATTTCAAAGATAGCAAGCACCTGTAAGAGAAAGTTTTCGCACGGTTAAGACGTCAATCAAAATAGATATTACATGTAATGCTTTCTTATTATCACATCACTGTCATAGCCACTTGCTCTCGCGTAAGTGTCGTAGAAAACTTCACGGGTGACCATACTTCTTATAATTAAACTTAAATTTCCACAATATTTTTTGTATATTTTACACGGTTTATGAACGCATTCTTCATAACAGTTATCACTTTAATAGATTTTATTATTTTTAATATAATAAGTACTGATTTTCATAAGCTTGGCGTATGTATGCAGATTTTGTTTCACATAGAACTTAATTTCTTTTGTGAAAGAACTAACGAACGAAAAAATTGCATTTTTTTA